AAAAAAATAAAAAATAAAGGTCAAGATGGAAATGTATACATAAATATATATATATATGTAAATATATGTAAACTAAAACTATTCTCATTGTCCCTAGTACCAAATTGATAATATGTAAAACGTTTAAATATAATAATAGTAATACTACTTCAGCAATATTTGCTCATAATATTCAGGATGGCCTATAGGTTTTACCTTTATACGTTTACCTTTGTTTAGGAAACTCGAGGTTTTCTTTGTTAGTTTTCATTTTCAACAATTCACCGGCGTGTAATATTGTAATAATAATTATGGCCTTCCGTTTTACCAACTACCGCCGGCAAGTCATTTAACTATAATATATTATTATCATATATAGGTACGAACTTACGGAAATACTACCCATCTATCCCAGTAATACGTAATATACCTATAATATAATATAAATTTTCTGTACATTAAAGACTTAGACTACCTATATTACATTATTATCATTATTATAATATTATATAGGTAGCTACTGGCTCGAAAAGGAGAAGCATTAGAAATTTAATGCAGTAAATTCGTGTGTAATACCTACCTACACATTATAATATACGAACATTTATTTCAATGCGGCCTTGCTTAATATGACTTAACAATGTTGCGAATGTATATTATTATTTTAATGAATATACATACATAGGTAGGTATGTCAAAGTTCTATGGCCGTTTACCTATGCGGTCGCATATATGTATACTTAGAATTGATTTAGAGATTCTCGCGTGGAAGTCGCAGACAAAATAATATAAATAATGAAGAAACTGCGTGAAGAGATTATAATATAATAGTTTAGGTTAGAATATGTTTGGCCAGGTCTACTGCAACTTTATATTATATTGTAGTTTAATATTATAATATACATTCGTTTATATACGATATTATTGTGATACATGAATTAAGATAGTATATGGATGACCAACGAGTCAAGTAACCGCTAAATTAACTCTGCTTTTATCACTTTTGGTCATTTACTCAATAACGCTCTACCACATCACGTCAGCCATATCGAAATTATATTTATTAAAGATTTATTATTGATATCAAAATCACAATCTATCTTCAATTATAACATTAACTGGTACCTACATCAAATTATATAATATGTGACTGATGAAAATTTATTGTGATACATCTATCATGAGAATATTTGAAAATCATACTAAGTTGAGAGGCCCCGGAAAAGTGATTCATGTTCATGAATTTTTACGGGGAGTGGGAAAAAATAACAAAGGTGTTATATTTATATACATTTATACAACACGATAGAAAATACACTTTTGGGTAAAAAAACAAAAAAAAAAAACTAAAAAAGTATTAATTTTAGCTTTGGCTTTGGCTGGCAGATTTATTCACTGAAAAGCTTGATGTAAATTATGTACTTTATCGTATAATATTTACGAGTATTAATCATTTCAATAATTTTGTTTTTCTTTATTATTTTATTATATATAATATAATCGATAAAATTACAATTTTAAAATTTATTTACTGTTTGTCTTGATCATACGAAAAAAAATAAATTAAATATGATATGAAAAAAATGATTACTGTAACTATTAAGACTTAGTTGTTATTATTTTATATTGCATTTGGTTGTCGTGACTTATTGGTGCTCAAATAAATTTCGATCAGACCAATATAATATTGTACGAATACAATTATGCTTTGAATAAAAAAGTTACCCTTACAGGCGGTAATAAAGTATATATAATTGATATTCTCTTGAAGGTTAAAACATTTTTCTATTAATTTTGTTAAAAAAAATTGTTTCGCGCATACCTAAATTTTAATAAATGTTTATTGTATTATTACATTTAAATTTATTAAATTTAGCTTTAAGATCTATAGGTTAGGTCAGGCAAGTCAAATCTTTATTTTGTTTTATGACTTCTTCGTAAGTTATATTTTTTTTCAGTTTGCTCCACAATATATTTTAAAATACCATAATTAATTTTTAATTGGTCCATATATTACTGTTACCTATATAAGTAGTATTGTGATATACATTAGGTCAGGATTTTAACCTCATGTTTTATATAATTAGCAGTCAGCTCCAATTTTTGGTAAAATTCATACTTTGATTATATCTTGCAGATGAAAATATCATTTATTATTCTCATATTTTTTGTGCAGTTATAACATGGTTAAATAAAATTCTACTAGTAGCTAATTGTGTCCAAAAGTAATGATAATTCCAATATTTTATGTTAAAATTAAAAATTAAACCATGAAAAATTAAATCTATTTTATTCTGGTCCAATGTAGGTTAATTAATTTTGAAATTAGTTTTATTACACATAATTTTTTCTTTGTTTTCTGAAAAAGGTTGAAACATTGAGCTGTTTGATTATTACTGGTTATACAGTATTACAGCTTAAATTAATAATAGAAATATTAACTCTGATACAAATGTCGTCTCGTATATAAATTTAATTATATAAAACTACTAAGATTTAAGACTTAGGGTTTTCGGAAGGAAAATTATTAGATAGATATAATATGGACCGTGCATTAGCTAACATAGTAAAACTAAAAGAAAATACTGGAATCGACGGAATTCGTATATAGACAAAACAAGGAAGTGTGAATGGAGACAGATATTTGTTTGGATGTTTGATCTAAAAGGCTGTAATAAATTAAAAAATAAAAAACATCTAGTAGGTACCTATTTAAAATTAATATCTATATATATGATAAAACATTTTATTTGTCAGTCGATCTAACCTAACGAGCATAAATGTACATAAAAGTATTTATTCAAAAAATAAAAAACATCTAGTAGGTACCTATTTACATAAAAGTATTTATTCAAAAAATAAAAATTAAAAATATGGTAGACTCGAGGACCGCGGTTGTGGGGGGGGGGGGAATAATAATACAATTTCTAATTAAAACGAATTTTTTTTTGCTTCATAAAAAAAAAGACGTAACTTTATATTATATACAATAATTATCCATACGTATACACTATCTATTGAAATGTGTATTTGAATTTTATCAAACAATCGTTACTTTTAATGTTAATTTCTGATCGATTATAAAAAATGCCTATAACAATAAACGAAGTTAGGTTTTAATTATAAAACTATATTGTATAGTTACTATCGGTAATTATTATTATACTGCAGTTTAAATAATATGTTTGTGTGACCAGAATTCAATTTTAAAATGTGAGAAATGACTTTTTTCTTATCGGGAAAAACGCCTTTATATTAAAATAACATATACCTACCTAAACACAAATAAGGTTTGTTTTTTTCTAATCTTTTTATAGATTTTAATGAGATATTGCCGTATTAGGTGGTGGTTACCCATTAAAAATAGTGTTATTTTTTCTCACTTTTCTCATTTTTCCAAATGTCTTTAATAATCTTTTTTTTTCCTGGTATCTAATGCAGTGGGCTGTTATAAGATTTTCGTCGATTCCATTATTACTTATAGCGAGGTATGAAAAGTCAAAAAGTATACTTTCGATAAAATATACATCACTAATAGTTCGCCTAGAATAATTGAAAAATAGATAGCACTTTTTTTTTATCGTGGAAACCTGCATAGTACTGCGTGTATTTATAAAACGGACGATAATCACGTAATCACATGATCTTAGCACTTCTGAAAACGAGTGGAAATTAAATTCTCGTACGACCTAGCTTAAAGAAGAAGGTCGATTCGTTTAATTAGGGGGCTTATCACCTCACTATGCACCCTAACCTATAATCTTCGAGCTCTGTGGTGTGAATTTGAGCGAATTAATCGCGTTATATAGAACCATTATTGTAATGAAGTTTACAATAATAAGAAACTATATCTTAATTGATAAGAAACTATATAGACAAGTTTTTTGCCTAAAATCATCGTTATAAAATGTGTTGTAGTTGCGTAAAGAAGTTGAGTACTGTTTATTGTACATACAAAGAGTAACACTATACGATTTGACAACTGAAATAACTTTTGTTCTGCTCAATATGTTTGGTTTTTATTCTTGTGCCTAATAATTTGTAGAGTCGCGCCTTATAATTTTTCTATTTTCTATTTTTTTTATAAAACTAGAAATAAAGAAGTTTAAATTTTATAAAAATTCAAGATAAATATATTACGAAACAAAACGTTGGTGTTACAAATATTTATTAAAGAAAAAATCGTTAAGTTTCTACATTTTTTTAAAGTTTAAAAAAATTATTAACAAGATTATTTTTCATGGATAAATTGTTGAATCGATTAATATCATTTAGTGAAAACAATATAACGTGTATACTTAGTATTTTTTTTATCATAAAAGTTTTGTTTTAAAATATATTAATTAAATGGTTCTTTTTGATTTTGTAAAAAAAAATGTTTATTTTTAGTTTTAAAAAAATATAAAATAGAGTGAAAATTTAATGTATCACCATCTATTTTAAATTGGTCATGTAGTTTTGTTGCACGGATAATTTTTTGGTTATCTCTAATTAGAATAATAATCAAAATTACGTTTATTAAATAGCATCAAAGGTTTTAAAATAAATTATTTTACAAATTTTGTAAACCCCCTCCTATTGAAAACTACTGGGAACGCCACTGGGTAGAACTTACGCAATCGTAACGCACCAACGATAGAGTGACGGAACGTTAATAGTTCCTTTATTATCACAACACTGCATAATGATCGGTTTTATCGTTACCGATGGATTAATTTGGCGTCACATTTTTAACCGCGATAATGTTATTTCGTTGGTTTAAATTGCAACCCCAAGCCCCCCCCCCATATTTGTTTCTATTAAGTTAATTGCACGACTCTTTAATAAACTGCTCGATTCCAGTCATTATATCTTAGCCCACGGTTCTAATCTAACCTCTGTCAGCATATTATTATATCAAACCGATTATGAGCTATATCACGTTTTTCGGTATCTAATAAATTAATTTGGTGCCGTCGTTTGTGCTGTTGCAGGTCGTAAGGACGTCGTGAGCGATGCCGTAGCGTTGGCGCGGTGTCGGAATGACAAACAGCCCTGGGGCCTATCATGCCACCGCCGAAAACAACCGTAACATTGGTCACGCAACATCAGCGACATCGGCGTCGACGACGGCTCAAGGACGCCGTGGTCAGGCGGACGCGTCTCACTATATCATGCCCGCAGACCCGTAAGATTCAAACGTTTTTTTATTCATGTTATTTGTTTTTAATTTTACGTCAACAATTGTACTTCAGACGCAAACCACAAACATAACACAGGAGACGTTAGCAAGAGCCCCTCACAAGTAAATAACCCCCATGAGCAGCATAGTTTCGTCTCTAGAGTCGAAATTTCATCCAGCCGACTTGTGGCTGTATAATGTGTTTCATATATTATATTTTTAATTGATCTGAAATAATTATATGGTTATTTGACTAGTTTATAGCGTTTTAATTTGTTAAGTGTATCTCCTGTGGAAACATGTAACTTGAGAATACACATTTTTTGAAAATAGGTTGAATTTTTAAACCTTCAAAGGGCTCCAAGAGGGACCCTTGATACTTATACAACATGCATATTTCATATAATTTCTTTCCCCTGACTTCATTTAGAGTTTGTTAGGTTATAAAGCGGAAATCACTCTCCTGACACAACGGTTTAGATAGTTAAAAATTCGTATTAAAATTCAACCGTAACATTATCGCACCAATCCTCCAATTTCTTCCGAATTTCGTTTTAAGGTATCCACTAACAGTATCTTTGAGTGGCAGGAAGAAGATACAACACATATAGCAGGTACAAAACAAGTTTCATTTCCGCAGAAAATTAATAACAACTCTAACAAACACGAAAATGTAGTGTTTCTTCGCACACATGCCATTAGCTGGCCTAACGGGTGACTGGAAAGAAAAAATCTAGTTCTGGTGTGGCGTTGAACCAAAGAACACCTTAATATCATACTTCGTTTTCGTATTTATATTGTTTCTTATTTTTAGATTATAAAATTAAGTTCACCTTGTTTAGTTGTGTCTTAAAACTTTTTGTCCCTTAAGTGAGTACTTACAGATGCGTTACCCTAGCATCACCGTGTAAAAATTTCGTTTTGCTAAATTTGTATTAATTAAGATATAATTTAAAATAAAATTCATTATTATAACTTTGAAATTGGATTTTCATTGTCATGTCAGTTTCAATAAAATAAAATCGGATGAAAACAGTTTTTGCTTCTCATAAAAAATTTCAAAATTGGACTTGGTCTTTCTGTCTCTAAGGTACAATTTTACATACCATTACCATCATTTAACTGATTCATTATTATTATAAACAAGTACCTTACAGACTTTGGAAAGTTTAGAAAAGGGATTTTGTGGTTGTTTTGTTGTTTGGATCATTGGATATATATATATATAGGTAAAAAATAAAATCATGTGTACAAAAGAGTTTCTTCCAGCGATGTTTGTAGGCAATTAATGAATTATCGTCTACTGGTGTAGTATTTTCACGCGTGTTGTTTACTTCCGGCCAAAACTGAAGGAACCTTTTCACAGACATTCTGTGTTTGGTCCGTTATTTCTCGTAAAACGTGTATCTGAAAATCACACTGGTCGCCTTTACACGGTGGGCGCGCGCGTCTGAACGGATAATTTTAACATTTTCGAGTCCTAAATAAATATTAACCACGAATAATCATCTCTTCCTTGTGTGTTATAACACCTATGTCGGTGATGACTTATCTCGTACGACGTATACTCGTCGTTCGTTCGAGTGCGGTTAACCACCTTAAAACTTAAAACGGGCATAGTTAATAATTATTTCGGAAATAATTACGTTATCACCATTCCATACAGTATAAGTGTGTGACGGTGTATGTCATGTTTCTATTACCCTTATTTACTTCATCGAAGCCAAACATTATGATGTTTGACCTACAATCAATCCTTTCCAAAGAATGAATTCTCCGTGACGAGCTTAGTAAAACGTGATGATGATATAGCTTATACAGATATTACGATATATACATATACAGGATGATTTTTTATATCCAGCAATTATGTCTACGAAGGTAAGAATGATTTTGGTTTTTTTTAATTCATTATAATTAGTATTTTTTATTATCTTATTTATAATGTACTTTCGAAATTTGACCATTAATCCGTACATCATAAATGCAATCGTTCCAACTTTTGATTTTAAAATAGAAAACTCATTTCGTTTCTTACTGATTAGAAAATAAAATATATATGTAAATTTTTTTTAAATACTCCATGTGCATAATAAATTATAAAGAATTCTTTAATAATTGAAAAAAAAAATATCAGAATTCAAATTCATACTTAAAATCCGTTGATGAAAAAAAATACCAACCTGTATAGTGAAAAACTTCAAAATGTCGATTGCTTACAATAGTTTTGCCTAATGTGTTTTTTAAATTTTCTTTTCGTTGTGCTATTGAAAAAAAAAAACATTATCACCATTGGAATAAACGTTCAATGACTAAGAGTTCCGAACTTGTTTAAATTTCAATATCAAATAAAAGGAATATTTTTTTTCTGCTTGCCCCTTTCAATGAAACGCCTGTCTCATTCACGTTCATTAGCTTGATTTTTTTTTTCTTTTTAATAACGCGGCCGTTGTCATTTATCTGACATAATCGTTATATATCAATTGTTTGTCTCTGAATTGCGAATCGTTCGTTATAATGATTCGCTCTCTTTCTGGGAGAAAAAAAATAATCAAGCCAACACAACGACGTGGCGTGATTATTACTAACTAATCGATACAGCGAAAACAATTATGATTTATTGGAGAAAGTACGGATAATGCGATGACCGTAACGACATTTTGTTACAACGATGTGACGTATTTTTAATGAACTTCGTTTACTATAGTCACCGAGGAAAATGTACCACCAAACGATTTGGAAAAAAGGGGGAGAGTCACATGTAAATTATTATACGCTATATATAACTATTCTAAATTCTATATAATTATGATTTTTAAACTGTATTAACTCCTAACTTTAGATTCAATCTTCTGGACTCCTTAATTTTGTTTTGTTTTGGTACTCTATTATAGGAACGTTTTCGTTTTCATTTTGTAACTTCACGTACCCCGAAATTGGTATTATACATAGTGGTTTTGTTTTACCACAGACTGAATATTTATGTAAAAACGAAAAATGTTGAGTACAAATTTGATTATGGCTTTATATTTTTCCATATAACGTTATAATGTTATAGAACCGCAATCTTCCATATGCAATATGAGAAAAATATAATAACATATTATCGGCTATACAGGCACTGATTTTCCAATAAAAAAATATTCGTTATAAATGTATAGCCTTGTATGTATTTCCGATAGAAATATTATGTTCTTTCAACTACTTGGCGTTTTCAAACATAATAATAATAATAATAATACTTGCCGAACACTTAAACGCACTTAAATCCACAATATGAATAATAATACAAAAAAAAGAATAAGTTAATTTTGCTGACGGGTGGGCCACTGTTTAAAGAGGGAAGAGAAAAGGATGGATGCATAGAGTAATTGTATTTATATCTGTAAGAAACAATAAACCAGTGCTTATTTAAAACGATTTTGAGTGATGTTCTATTACACATGTTTTGAAATGTAGTATTTTTGTAGTTATGATTTTTATAAAAGTTCTGTTTTAAAATACTTATAAAAAAAAACTATTACATACGCTCAAATTAATTTTTTTGAACACTAAATTCAACTATAATGAATCTGATTTTATAATTTTATTATATCTCAATTTAGAATACATCTCTAGTAATTTGTTTTAAGCACTACTGTTTGGTCAAATAATTTTAACTACATAAAATTTACAAAATAAAAAAAAATAATAAACAGCTTTATTTTATTTTAAAACCATTTAAGTTTAATTTTGACGACAAATCTTAAAAAATCACGGTATTTAAAAACATGTTTAAACGAATTTCTTATTTACGTTAGAAATGATTTATGTTTGCGTAGGTACAAATATAAATTATACAGCTCAAGTAACTACCCTATCTTCCGGGCTTTCCACCATAGTGGTACAACTGTCAGCATGATTAGCTCTTTTTAATAAGTGCGCGTATAGTCTTGGTATACATAACTGTTTAGTTGGCGTTAATATTGAAATGTTCGCTAATTTTTCCTGCGCACACCATGTAAAAAAAGTAAAATAGTGTAAACGCTCTTTTTGTCGTTTGTTTTACCAAAAGACGCGTCACGACGGCGGCATCAGAGGTGCGAGTATAAGTCGTGAAATTTATGTTCCATAAATAAACCATCGTCGTCATCCTCGCATTAATACGTTTCGAGGAATGTTTTTCATTATTTTCCGCTTTTAAAAGATATCAGCGTTAAGCCTTATTAACGAAAGTTTATGGTAGATGTTTGGTGTTTTAAATTTAGCCGAAATTTCCTAATATGTAATACTTCTTACTGCAGGTTTCCCGATAGGTTCCGTTCCATCTCCAGTCACATAATAATAATAATATTAATATACGCTATTATTGTCACGATATTCTCAAAAACTAACAGTATAGAGTTAATTTTTACGATCGGTTTCGGCTTTATTAATCGCGAAATAAAATTTAACGGTGCTTATATGCGCAGTCTAAGAAATCGTAAGTAAAAGAGTATGCGTTTTTGAATTATTATTATTATCATTAGACGGCCACAAAATTTGACGAGTTCTCGTAAAATAAATCCAAGGTAGTATCTATAAGTACAGTAAGTAATGTTGTGGAGAGTTTATTATATACGCGTATTAAACCAGCCCTCTTAAAATCATGTATAATCATATGATGGTAACAGATATGTAACAATGCGTAAACCGTAAAAACGGAGTTTTAGATTCCGTTGGTTTTAGTTTCATTTTATATTTTTGTCCGTATATAAGTTTTCGACTAAGATGATCCAAAGCTCTGATCGACGAAAACAAATCTGCTCTGTAAAATTTTTAATTTATAGTTGGAGATTAAATGTGGGAGAGTTGTTATTATTATTATTTTTTTTTTTTGTTAAAATAGTATATTATTAGACGTAAAATAAAAAAATTTGAAAAATATCTTACTTTATTTTTGGGTAGTTAATTATTAAATAGCTTTTTGATATTTTCGATTAATATTCATATTTGGTTTTTTATTGACCACGTCCCGAGAATGCTCGACAATTTTACACAAAAAGTTCTTTTCACAAGTATTCATCACATTCGAAAACATTTTTCAAGCGAATTGTAATTAATCAAATATGATAAAATAGTCAATTTTCATTTGACCACCCGTAATTCAAATATAAAATCCGTATTCATATAATATGTGTTAGCGTGGCAATAACTCATGTGGATATTTGACTGATGTTGATTATCGTAACAAAAATTGTATTTATAACAATTAAACTACGGTACGTTGATTAAATTAAACAAATAATAATAATAATAATAATAATTTAGCCTTACATTTATAAAAAGAACTGCGCAACAGTAACTTTTTTAATAACCTCGTTGTTTTAAATTTATTGTCAATTCTTCTAATTGCAACGCGTGAATACAGATTGAAAAAATTATAATATTATGCATTAATATCAACTAACATTTGCTGAAATCGTAAAATTTTTTTTAGTGCGCTCATGAAACAAAAAACCAATAATAATTTGTATGATTTTAAATTTGTATTTTATGAATATTACATTTACCGTTTTCGCCCATTGAAATCGAAATATTATTATTATTTGACTACACTTTTGATCGCTAAATTATTTCCTTTTTCATATTCGAATATATTATATCAGTTGATTGAACATAATATAATTTTTTTTTCTGTCGTACCTATAGATTTTAGTATTATACCGGCTCGGAAGCGAAGCGAATATCATTATAAATGTTTAAATATAATATATATATATATATATGCGTACAATTTTATAACTGTATAAATATTATTTTACCTTCGAAATCGAGATTATACATGTATACTGTATATTATATGTATATTTGTGTTATATTGTTATAGCTGCAGCTACATTTAGCTTACATTTTTAACAATATTATTTCGAGTGAATATATAAAATAATAACAGATATTTTCATGGCCATTAAAACTTGAAGCGTTTTTTTATTATTTTTTTTAAGAGATTTCATTGGGATAACCATAGATTTTATAAGTATGGTATTTTATTAAAGGTATTAAGTAAATATTGTTTACTTATGTATTTATTGATTTTTGTATTATTATTATCGTTTGTTTTTTTTTTTTATGTTCCAATTAAAATTTTATATTAATATAATAATTTAGTATAGTTTTTTTTTACAATTTGAAATTATGTGTTTAGTTTTAGATTCAGAGTCAAACAAAAAATTTATCGGCTGGGAAATATTGCTCCATTCGACATTTTTCTAAGAACTTTCTTGTAAAAATGTTTATTTTGTTGGCACATTGAGTAGGTCACTTTTTTTTATATCCTTGGCAACATTTTGTTTAATTTTTGTTGATTTCTGAATTGTCTTTGCAACAAAGAAAAATATAATATGCATATTAACAATTATATTACGACTATTGTACTCTACTCAGAATCGTTTTTCATAAGAAATGGATAATCGTTGCGTATAGTGACATTAATTAAATTAATTATACTATTAGTTTTATTTGTAAAAAAATAGCACACCTAACAGAAGTATTAGTATTTTTTTTTTTTTTTTTTTATAAATTTCATTATTTATTCGATTTCATTATTTATTAGTGATTTTTGGCTTATTATTTTTCAATTTTGACTTTGCAATTTCGATTTGTACAATGTATCCAAACGTAATTTTAATGACCTATTTAGATTAACTATTTATACAGTAACTAGAAAGGTAGTGGAATGAGTCAGTCGAATTCCCGCTTTTTGAACACAACTAACGTCTTACAATAGCCCGTTAGGAAAACAATAACTAGAGTAAGAGTGAGAGTAGGGCGATCAAAAGATAACCAGGTAAAATGGGCCTTGCTCTTGCACCAGACGTTTCCACAAAGTTCGAGTGTGGTCAAATACAGACCACGTTTCATTTACTAAAACGTCCAAACTGCCAATACTTCTGTGCATTTGATGACATTATTATTGCAACGTCGAACGTCATTGAAGTTGCAAAATATTGACAAAAATGTACTTATACAACTCATACTTTCGGAACCATTAACTTACGTGTTATCAATAAAGTACCGATATGACAACAGATAAATATACTTATTTACTGCATTAGGATTGACACGTAAAAAAATAATACTAGTTTTTTTTCGCTATGTCGACAACAACATTATCATTACGTCAGTACAAGTCAAGACGTGTGTCTGTCTCGGACAAATTATGTTCAAGATGTTCGTTTTATTTGTACTATATTTTTTTTATACGGTTAAAATAAAAGATGTGCGTGTCGTTAGGATATCATTACGTAATATGTATACCGTGTTCAACTGGTGGTTTGTGTTATGTATATAGGCTCTATATCAATATAATCTAATAGTACGGGTTGGCTACAGATTTTTAGAGCAGGCTCTCTCTCGATAAAGACGTATATTATACCTATTTCACACACCTATGCCAATTTTCGAGGCACATCTAAGCTATTTATGTAATAAAAATGGTTTCGGGCGAAACAAAAACGAATAGGAAAACTGAAAGAAAAAAAAACCGACACACAATACGAGAAAAATCGTTTTGGCAACCGGCCGGCCCTTCTGCTGCGACTAACCGACCGACCACGGGCGGATTTCTTGCCAGGGTTACGGGTTCGCAGACATTATTATTATTATTATTTTTTTTTTTTTTAACGACCTAGTTTCGATTTCCAGAGATGTCGGTTTTTTTGTAGTTTATGACGATCAACAAATATTATACAGAGTCCTGCAGTCTACCCTACGTCAAGTGATGGATTTGGATGATTCTTTTCTATATAGCTTTTGCAAGACTGCTTTAGTTATTAAACGCACTGGAAAAAAGTAAAAAATAATATAATAATAATAATAATAATTATTTGAAATCACATTAAATGGCTCAAAATGCGTTAAAGTGCCAAAGAATACAGCAGTTATATTTCATACCTTATAAAGTTATGAATAAGTAATACGTTACTTTAATTACTTTACATTATTAAAGGCTTATGAAAAATATGAATGATGCAAAATTTAAAGTAAATTAAATATATATATATATATAATATTATAATTTTGCAAGCAAAATATATCTACATTCATTAAAAAAAATACTTTTTTTGAGATTTTTTCTCAAAGTACGTATTTTTGTAGTGTAATTATTTGCTCTTACAAGTTGAGTAAGCAATATAAATGCACATTGGTTGTTATTATTTGATTAGCAATACGCTAATACTAATAACTTATGATAAGTTTCACTTTTGAATAGTTTACATAAATTGTTTGTATTTTAACACAGCCAATGGTTATGACGAGTGGCAGCTTCCTTATTTCCTTGAATATACAAGACTGGTCGCAATGATGTAGTTTTAAATTCTAAGCAAAGCAAGAAGTATATTAATTTTACAATGATGTTTATTTACACTTTTTTTTTTTAATACTGTTTACACAATTTCTGCAAGAAAACTTGCTCTAGTTTTCAAGTGTACCACCTTTTCTGAAAGGAAATTAAATCTAGTTAGTACTTTAGGGGTGTTGTCTTCTGGTTTAAGTGGTTAATATAAATACTACAAAAAAAACCCTGAAAAACTTAGGAAAAATTACGAAAATAATGCATTTACTTCAAAAAATTTCAAAATTATTTTCAATTTTGTTATAGATTCCGAGCGTTTCGAGGGAGCTATTGGTTTTACTAAGATGTTTATTTTTTTAGTTTTATTTTTTGTCTGTGGACACGTTTTTTCTTGTAAACCTGCTCCAATTTTTATATGTAGCAACTTTTCTGAAATCACAAGTTGTCTAGTTGGTATTTTAAAGGGATCATTTTTTGATTTTTGACGCTTTTTTTTAAATAAAAGCTCTTAAGTGAAAAAAAACAAAAGAAAACGTACAATTTTATTTCACGTTTTTATTATTTTATAAAAACACGGACAACGTTTTCTACCAGAAAAAATGATTTAATCGAAAAATCACAAGATCCATATTTTGTTTTTTGTTTTTTATTTACTTTCTAATATTATCATCGCCAAAACTTTCGATCCAATTTGGAGCTTTGAAGGAATTTTAATTTTTGGGAGTAGTTTTTTGCTGTAACTCGGTTAAAAATACACGTAGAGACTTGAAACTTAGTAAAAATACTTATATTGGACTAACCTAGACCTTGTAAAATTACTAAAATTATCAGACGACTTATTTTTATTTTTTTTTTTTTTTGATAAGCATTTTGAAATCAAATTTGAACGAAAACCGCAAAAAAAAAAAAATAATGACGGCACTTCAAATTATGTATTACCGAACTACGCTCGGAATCGTCTTTCGTCTTATGTATTTTTACTTCTCAACTTCTCACCTACAACAGTGGCCACTCTTATCCCTAGTATCAGATTTTTTTTTTTTATTTCAATACAGTTCAAAATAATCGTATAGACTACTAATTTGTTCAAAAAACTTATATTTGAGGATTTAGCTAAAAGGACTAGCTCTATAAGGTTACAAAATATGCACTAAAATACTCATTCTATGCATTTAAATGAAAAATAAAATAATCTAAAATATGAAGTTTGAAATTAAAAACAATATTTCCTATATTTATTTTACCTTAAGTAGTTAATAGTAAAACTTGATGGTACTTTCTACGATTCTGAAAATAATAAAAACTATTTTTTAATTTTAGATTCTGACTGAAGTGAAGAAACCTATGGTTTTAAAAGATTTTTATTTTGTTTTTTGTTTTGTTTTTTTAATTTTTATCTATACGAAACTTTTATACTTGAAGAATTGCTCCGATATTGACGCGTAGCACCTTTTATGAATGGAAATTGGTGTAAGGAAGTCCCTAAAGACGTTATTTTTCAATTTTATCAAGAGTTTTGTCATTAAAATTGAAAAACCGAGAAAATGTACAAAATATATTATAGTATAATATATAGTAAAATATTATGGCTTTTCTTCCCGTGCACAATTTTTCTACCAGCATTTTTTTTTCAACTTTTAATGATTACAATGTTTCTAAAAGGAAGTTTCACTAGGTACTTTAGAAAGGTCATTTTTTTCGGTTTTCCTAAGAGTTTTCCCGACAAATGTGAAATACCAGGATAAAACATGGAAAAACCGGGAAAAATTTTGGAAATCTGTGAAAATCGATACAATATTAAACAAATAATACTAAAAAAATATATATAAAGTCTATTTAAAAATTTTACTCTAAAATGATATATATATTTTGTTGAAAAACCATCACTATCAACTGAACTCCGCTCAGAATGGTTTTTTATATGCAATAGTTTATCGTTGTTTATAGGTGTACATTAAATTACCTAAATCAATTGCTGCATTCATCCCTATTATCCTATGGCATATTTTAAGGATGTTAGATCAAAATATTGATTTGAAACTTCAGGATTGTATTCAGATGCATGATTTTTCAATTACGAAGATAATTACGTATTTTGTACGTTCAAGTAAATAGCTTTCAAAATATAATAAATCGCAATCAAAACGCCTAGTCAACAGTTTAGAAACACATAACTTTGGAATTTGAGTACATTAGTGTATCCATCATGAATCGTGAGGGAGTAAAAAAACCTGCGTCCAACAACTTAATATGATAAAAATTAAAAATAAATTAAAATCTAACAATTTTGGTTGTATTATTGATTAAAATAAAAACGGTATTTAAAATATTAACAAGATAGTGAATTAATGAAAATATGTCTCAATAATTTTACAATAGAAGAAATATGCCCTAAAAAAAAATTGTATTTTTCGCGCAAATGCTAGTCCTTTCCCCAACCGGTAAGTCATTTTAGCGCATGCGGATTTATAGGCAGTTTTTTCATTTGATTCCACTTTTTTATTGAACACAAATAATTGAAATTCCGTGAATATAAATTCTTAATTAATTTATAGATATGGGTAATACTGCACCAGCATAACGGTATTATATTATATCTACGATTTCTGTATAGAAATGTTGAGACGCTCATAACACAATATATTAGTTCAAGAAAAATCTAGTAAAAAGTTCAATTCGTCGAATCGTGAAAACGTGAAGCTGCAGACCTTAATCGTCTTAAATATGAAATTGCACGTTTTATTTCAACTTTGTTTGCTAAAGATTGAACGCGGTTCAATGAGGTCTGCCCGAACCTACCACAGACAATTATTGTGGTTATTAATTATTTTTATTTTATAATTATCTATTAACTATATCATAACAGCAAGGCTGAAATTGAGTCATTTTTAGAACTTATCTAGGAAATAAGCCATTTCTGTCATTTATTATTCAAATTTATCTAAATTTAGATTATTTATTACACTCTACCACCTGCATAATGCTGTCAAATAATTTAATAATTAAGATTTAATTAAATATTGTTATATGCATAGTGATTAATATTATCCTGTTGTATCAACATACTATTATATTATGTGTTATGTACACTTGGCGTCACAAAAATCGCACCTATTGCAAATTATTTTTCAAAGTAATTTTAACTACACTTAATCATATATAAGGGTACTGTTATGATATATCATTTGAAAGGTGATGAAATAAACTTGAAAAATAAATAAATGGTATGTGTTTTTGTTTATCAGTGTTTTAAAAAATAAGTTAATCGTGGAAGAGGAAAACAAATTGTATTGAGGATATACAGTTTTACAAACAGAAACAGACAATAGACTTCATATAAAAATAAAAAACTGTTACTAAATGTTATTTAAAACCTAGTGCTACTTCCTCTTGCCTTAATTACTGCTTCCATACGATCTTTCATAGANTTTTTGAAATAATATTGTTTAAAGAGTATTCACGTACGTCCTTTTCAATGTTTAGGAAGTGAATGACCTGCATTTGACACTTTAAACTGATTTTGATATAGCCAAAGAATATAAGATAAGATAGGAGTATATTTATACATTTTCCTAATGCACCGTATACTTGGAATATGATTATTGTTTATGAAATGAAACTACTATCGGATAAGAGGTCATTAACTGTACTTTCAATTTATATCTTTATTGTTAGGATTAAATGTTTTGGTTCGGGGAAATGCCCGTTTGAAACTTAATTTTAAAGATGTGCGATTTTTGTGACGCCAAGTGTATATAAATGTAATACAAGAAAAAAAAGATGAACATATGGGTAAACCACCATCACGCTGGTAGGTGATTAATTATTAATAATTATTAATTGGATTATTTTAAGAAGTTTTTTACTTTTTTTCCCGGTTTTTCCAAATTATTATGAAAACCATTTGAAAAATCAAAAAATTATCTTCTTAATGTATTAACTTGTTAAAATTTCCTTTCAGAAAGGATAATACATTTAAAACTTCGGAGTGAGATTTCTAATAGGAATTACGTACATAGTATTAAAAAGAAAAAAAATCAAATATCATTGGAAAACTAATACATTCCTCGCTTCTATAAAAATCTTAAACAACATTGAAATAATGAAAACATTGTTTTCTTAAACTTTTAAGTTCTTTCTATGTTTTTCATGATTTTTCTTGATTATCAAAAACAACTTAATTACACACCAGTTAAATCCAAAATGCAACAAAAAAGATCCCTTGTCATTTTTCGATCGGATTCGATTGGATCGATATTTCTGATAGAAAACATAAATCGTATAAATATAATATAACTAGCTGAAAAATCCGGCTCTGTCTGTGAGCAGTTTTTTTGTGTTACCTACAATTTTTATTTATCAGTTTTTATATTACGGTTATAAGAAAAGGATTATTGTGCTGAAATGCTATGTGTCCTCCTCTTGGCATTGCCTGTACCTTTTTTTGGATTCCTTTTATTTTTATTCCTGTCATGCTTAATATATCGGACGGAAAAAAATAAGTGGATAGTAAGTAGTCCCATGGCAGACTATGTGTCATAATAAGTTATTTTGCTAGGCTTTCTTGCTAGATCCACGTTTCCGAGGTAAATAAATAAACAAAATATAAAATCTTATAATAATAATATCGTTTTCCATTACGAAGGATGATTTTTATGGGTGAAGTAGTTTTGTATTAAAATTCTCTTAAAGCCTGTAACCTTCCCGGGAAAATTTTGATCTAAAAGCCTTATCACAGTCGGATGAACAGTTAAGGAAAGCATAAGACATAAAAACAAACGTTCATTTTTATATAACATAGCTGTCCTGGCAATGTTTTTCTTTTGCTAGATTTTATCATTATTTTATTTTTTTTTTTTAGCTAAATTTACAAACAATATTCAGTAGATACCATAGATATCACATAGTCAAAAAAAAAAAAAAATAATAATAATAATGTTTACTTTGTTATCGAGGTTACCTAATCAACAAAAATTATGCCACAAAATACCAAATACCCTGTCAGCTAGTCTTTAGGAGTTGAATTTTAAAAATGTTAGTAGCTATAAAGCTTCTCCGGACTACGTGAAACTTTTTCCAAAAAACCTCTTTAAAATCAGTCCAGTTATTAAGTCTATAAATGACAGACGGACAGAAATTCTTTTATATATATAGATAAAATCATACAGTTTTCTTTTATAATTTTTTCGATTTACTTTGAAAATCCCTTAGACAATCAAAAAATAACCTTTTAATGCATCAACATGATCCAAAATGTATTAAAACAGTTTTCTCTTTTAATTTTTCGTTGGGAACAAGTTTTCTAGGTCAAAAGTTGTTCGTAAACAGAAGAAAAAAAACACACACATTATACTAAAATCGATGGATCCCTAGCTCTGTTTTGAGTAAAAAAAAAAGTAAATAAGACAAAAATATTATTTAATATAAAAATGTAAAATCGAAACATATGTTTTGTAATTTGAGTTGGTATTTTTAAGATGACTAGAATTTCGCACCTTTATACTTTAAAAGTTAAATATGTCACAATTAGCTACAAAGAAAAAAAAGAAAATAACGATATAAAACAAAATTCATTCGCTACGTTTAGAGTTGGGCGATAGAATGAAGTCGAGATATTTTGCCGAAAAATTATTATCGTCGTTGTGTTCAGTCGGATATGCTCTGCACGCGGACCGTATTAATATTATTTATAATAATGTGCACTCTACGTCGCGTGCCTACTTTTACACAAACTCGCTGTTCGTCTACTTTATTCAACACTTGTCGTCGTACACATTTTCGCGTACAACGAGCCGATTTGCATGCGCCCGTGCTAAATTCCCGGACATTTTCGAAAATGTCACGCACCGTCGCCGTCGGAACATAGTATACTTGCTTATTGGGACACATGGACGCGAAAAACGATCTGTCGTGGGCAAAAAACGACCGGGTTCCACGATATATCCAGCGTGGCGGTATTCAAAATTGCGCTCAGTTTCCGCATAGCATATGGCACTCTCCTTGCCGTCTTGTCGACCCGATAAAAATAAAACAAATAAAAAAAAAAAAGGAGCAAAATAACTTACCCCGATGTCGGCCGCCGTGGTGTACGTGATCGCGATACGTAATAAATGACGTCTACTGGACGAGTCGGTCACGCCGGCTGTGACGACAGGTGTTGTTTTTTGAGGTTAGGGTCACACCCGGTACAGTGTTAACCCATGCAGTTTATAGGTGTCTTGATTCAGTACGAGGGAAGAATAGCCCAAAAATATACTAAAATCACGCCGTTTTAATGGTCTTTTTTATGTTTCAAGTGTCCGTTAAAATTTAACCTAATTTCTACCTAACCTAACCTCTCTGAAAAAAAAAACGATATCTTAATAATAAATTTATTTTGAATTTATGAAAATATTCAAGCGTCACGGTGTACTAATATTTCTCGGTATTCCTTTAGAACAGTTTAGTCTCTACGAAACTCGTAAGCTTCGTCAAAAATTAATACCTTATTTGTGTTGAAATGTGGATATTTTTCCGACTTCAAATCGTTTCAAAGTTATTACTTACTTATTAATGTAAAACTTTGGATGTTTTGCTATTTTTTTTTATTTTTTTTTGTTTATAATATTATACGGTAATAAGGCATTTTGGACTATATTTTTAAAATATATATTAGACTTACTTTAGTATTGCTGCATTAATATTTCGCTCAAGCACACTTGGGAGTGCACCTAACTATTAAAATAAACAAACGTTACGCCACATTTGTTAAGTATTTGTATAGTTGAAAACGTGGAACACATAAACCGATGACTTATCATTTCGTAGTTCTATTTATTATTACCTAATACCATGCTATTAATTAACTATACAGTTAGTGAATATATTGATAGATCATTATTGACTTTGTGTTGATTTTACGCTTGTCTGTTAAGTATACCCGCATATTACTATTAGTTCATATTTGAATTGTGTAAACAGTTTATTTTGTAAAATGATTAATACGTTAATAAATTATGTATTTTGTGAGACTAAATTAAATTAATAATGTACCCACAATAAATTATGTAACAATAAGCTCGATATGATATTGAGTTGAACTCAGTTAAGTTCGGACAGCATAGATAATCATTTGACATCGATTTGTTGAATTTTCCCAAGAAAAAGACCATTGCAGTTTAGGTAGGTATTTTATTTGTTTGGTTTCTCGCTACTTTTGAACACTTTTAGCGGTTTTTCCCAGGCCAAATGAGAGTTGTCATATAGTTTCATATGGTGGATTGAAGTGATACAAGTTGTATTGAATTTTAATATAAATTTTAGTATATGGTTCCGGGATGAGGATCGCACAACAATATACTTAACACCCTCGTGTTAAGTTAGGCTTTGAAAACCCTTATACGCAATACAGACTTCACAAATGATGCTAGATGATTGTGCACCTATGGCATTAGTATCAGAGATGTGCTTTTTGAGAGTTTTACAATCATTATATATGGTTAAATTTAATTTTTACTTTTTTTTATATATATATAGTTATAGTTTAGTATTGCATTTTATTATTTAACATATCGGTTATTAATTATTGCTGTATGAAGAATATTTCAGTAACACTAAATAAGTTTGTTAGTTTTCCTGTCATTAAATAAAAAAGTACAATATAATCTACCTGTGAGTTTCGATTTTCTCATAATTCCTAATTGTTTTTTTGATATAAACAATATAATATAATGTAGTCTTTAATCCCTTCGAGTTTCTTTTTGATTTACCTACAAAAATTAATGTAGATTTTAGTTCCTATCGACTTTTTGAAATATATATTGAAAAAAAAAAAACTGCAATTTTCCAATATGATTGTAAACATGAAGAGTACATATCTCAGCCGGCTTTAAGTTTATCTCTTTATATGATATTTTTTCTTTTATTCTTCTAAACATTGATGAAGGCTTTATATTGGCTGCAGTTTTCAAACAGACTATTTCGTTTTATGTATTCTTGTTTACATTGTACTTACGCGCATACTTATACATTATTTATGAACGCTATTGAATGAAAACTAAATAATAATAACAATAACAAACCAATAATACCTTTTGATAATATTTCTCTCCTTAAATCATATTTTCTTGTACCTACAATTGGAGTATTGTTTTTAATCATTCATAATTCGATAGTCGGTGTTCGATGTACGAATGAAATACAATAATAATATGAAACGTAGTACCTGCACCGTAGACTACGTTAAAATATATTATGAACTTTATTATGAATTTAAAATCAAATATGTTTATTATGACTTTTTAAAATTAATAGTATTACTAAATCAACTAAAATAAAACAATATTATTAAAATTTAAAAAAAAGTGGATACTGTTAATGGGTGCACACCAATTAACAGTATCCCTACAACACTGGTGCCAGTGTTGTAGGTGGAATTTTGGGTAGATAGAATACATAAAGTTATTTTATTTATATCTGTATGCAACAATAAATCATTTTTTGTGAATTACGAATCTGAACGAAGATCGGTTAATCACGTTATGGCATTTTTTGAAAAGAAATTTTATCTAGTTGTTGCATTAGAAATGTCATTTTTTGGTTTTCCAAAGTATTTTCAAAATCAATGGGAAATACCGGAAACAAAATTAAAGAAAAAAAGGCAAATATTTACGGTGCATGGTGGTGTTACCGATGTCATTATTTTAAATTTATATTAACTATGTTTTTATAATAAAATATTGTACCAATAGAAAAACGATAACATATCATTTTATTGAATTTTTAAACTTATTGATCAGAATTTTTGATTTCCTAGTAGTTTTTTAAGTAAGTAGGAAAATAAAAACTAACGAAAAATAAAAAATGAATTTTAAATTATTTAAATTAATAACTATTTATAAACATTTTAATTTTGCGATTTTACGAATTTTTATGTAATTACTATTTGGTAAGTACTGTGTAGGTAAAATTGTCAGACTAAACAGAAATGCTATAAGAAGAAGTACATAATAAGTCATACTTGGTGTTGAAAAATAAAAAGAAAAAAAAGACGTCCGAGGATAATGAGGACGGGTGCAGCCACTGTTATAGATAATTTAATGTATACCTGTAATCAACAATATAAACCAATGCTTACGAAAATACGGTTCTGAACGGAGTTAAGTTGATAGTGATGCTTTGTCAACAAAATATATGCCATATTATAATAAAATAGTTAAATAGGCTCTATATATTTTCATTAATATTTGTTTAATGTTGTACCGACTTTTCCGGTTTTCCAAGTTTTTCACACTCGTTGAGAAAATTCTGGAGAAAATCGAAAAACGACCTCTCTAAAGTACCTCCCCAGTGAAATTTCCTTTTAGGAGAATTGCTATCATTAAATGTTGAACCAAAGTTGCTGGTAGAAAAGTTGTCCACAAAAAAAATAAAAACATCTTTGTAAAATCATAAGCTTCTTCGCTCCATTCAGAATCTAAAAATATTGAGTGTAATGTAGTGGTTTTATATACAAGTTAATTATGCATCTTACCTTCCTGACTTCCTACCTAAAACTGTGGTGCATCCGTTCCCAGTATTGGCTCTTTTTTTATTTAATTTTTTTTTTTTATTTTGTTAAATGGAAATTATTATTACAGTGTAATATTATCGGTATTCGATTGCTGTAAACACGTCGGTAGTAAAACAATTCCAGTTGGCGTAGCTATATTTTCGGTTCAGGTGTTTTACCACGGAGCGTGAGGTTGGTCCATTAAAGAGGTCGGACCCTGTCTATTAGTAGTCGGCAGTCGGTTATCAAAACGCAATACGCGGGTGTATTTGCGGTGTTGGCGGCCTGAGTTATTATTGCATAGGCATGTAAACAGTATTGAGTGTTACGACCGCCGGTAAACATTATAATGTAGGTATACGTGAAAAGGGATTGGGTAGAGGGCCACCGCCGTATTATATATTGTAATAGATTAATATACATAGTGTCGTTAATAGTTTGTTATGCAGGGTTATGTACAGGGTATTTCAGTGTTCAGGTTTATCCGTACCAAATTTTGAGAAAGATGATATCGTTGGTAGAGCGTTGGTGAAGCACCGTAAAATGCGTTTAAATCTTAACATGTTATTTCGTTTAATTTAACATAAAACTCGAAACGATGTGAAATTTGTCGTCCCTCAAAACCTCTATATAGGAATATTTGTTAGACATTGTCACTCAATTTTTTGGGATTTTTAAATTTAATTTTTTCGACGTTCTGAAAATCCCAAAAACTGTGCGATATATAATAACAAAGTATATCAAAACTGTTTTCTATGTTAAACGAAGACATTATTAAACGCCATATGTGTCACTGGCTTAAGCAGAAATATAAAATAGGTTTTATGGATTTCCCTGGTCACTAACAACAAGATGAGATCATTTTCAAAGTTTGATAAACCTGAAACACCCTGTATAAATTAGGGATCCGTGACGTATATATACGAAATGATAATATAGAAGTAACGCAGTGTCGTCCGTCTCTGTAAATCACCATTGTCGACACACTATATTATTATAATACTACTGCAGGATAGTTGTCGGTACATTGTTTTTGTTGTACGATCTCATTTCCGTTTTTGGAATGTGTTTACTGTACGTGTATATAAACTAATATTTTATGTACTCGTCGTATATAATTAGTATACAAGTTCAAAGGCATTCGGACTAGGTTATATGAACGGTAAGTACAATAATATAATACAGTGTGTTAGGAAACACCGAACTATATCCAACCACGAAGAATATTAATGTATTTTAATGCATCACAGTGCGATTAAAACGGTATGATATTAATAATAAATACTACGAATACGGCAAGATATTAGTGACAATTAATTTCGGATTTATCGTCGGCAATTTGTATTAAAATTAATTAAGCAGATGCCGGATTTTCAACTTCTATTGTTTAGCGTTTTGTGTAGAATTATATATAAGTGCAAGTTAATCAATCCGAGATAATATTGTTTTTACAACAATAATAACTAATTGTAAAAAAATAATTTAAAAAATAAATATAATTATAACAGTCAAATATATGAATTTCGCTTATGGTTGCGAGGCTTGGAGAACGATCAAACATACAGAATCAGATAGAGTATTGGGAATTTGTATGACAAAACAACCGAGGAAAAAATGTTGACCCACCATCCAAGTATAGCAACGAGGAAGAGTGAAGGAGATTCCATGGAGATCCATGCAATGCATTGAAAACAATAAGAAGCTTTTTTGTTAAAGGACACCACAGGATACAATGGTTTGGACACAAACAAGATGGCGCTAAAGTTACCCATCGGTTTTGGAGAGCTGTAGAATAAATACTATTCAACTTATAAAAATAAGGTTTATATTATTCGATTCAGTAGACAATTGTTATACTCGTACATCAGGTTTAAAATATTACATCTCTAAGATGACGGTTGTCAGCAGCGCTGCACTCTTAAAAATGATTCCGGAAGTTTTCAAATTTTGTTGGCAGTGGTTTAGACTCATACTTCTATCAAAACCACGGCGGAAACTGGCGTTATGAAAATTTGATACTTATGCAAACGCATCGATATCCCTCTCAACTTCTTCCCAATATCACTGGCTGAGCTCCAGCCGTTCAAAACTTATGCGTATCTTATGGTCAATGCGAAATACGATTTGGTTAGCCCGTATGTATGTATGTATGGAAGCCCCCCAGGAAGAATATTTTGATGAAGACCCAAACGAAAATTGGCTGAACAAGTTTCGGCGTTGAAAACTGCCGCAGTGTAGAATATGGTGACGAAAACTCGTAGAGCGTAGGCATACGGCGGTTTAAAAATCATTGTGTTTGTTATTTGGGAATTTCTCGCTTTACAAAACGGCGATGATCTTAATTTAATGTTCTCGTGTATATATACATTATAGGGGTACCTACATATAACATTATGTACTAACATTATGAATAAAGTGGCCGAAAACCGACAACCTTAAGCATCCCGACACCGCCGCAGTATCTGTATGTACAGCAGCACAACCTGCACAGTGTGAGAGAGAAATGCCTCGGCGTGCACTGCAAATTAGCTAATGGCTATACTTATAATTTAATGTTTTTCAATTACTGCCGTGATGGTTATACGGGTCGGTTAGGTAATATATCGTTTGTGTATCTAAAGTATAATACATAATAAAACGTGATCGAAATAATTTTATTATACTTATATTTCGCTTGGAAATATTATGGAATTTTATAGTCTCCAATATTATTATAAATCACGATGATAAAACAAATAATCGGCGCGATCGAAACCGAACATTTCTATGCACCATTGCCATCAAAAACCGTCGTGGTTAGGTTAGCTTTTAATATAGCCAAGGTAATCCAGAAATTATTTCAAACACGTCATCTGCTGAAAAATCCACAACGCACGACTCGAAAAAATTGGAACATTTTTACTAACCGAAAAAGCGTTTTCCGGGAGATATGAGAAACCACACATTGTAATAAAATTAATAGCTTCGTTAAACTTTGCAAAATCTTTTTTCGATTTAATTCAATATAGTATCAGGATTACTAGGAAAAATCCGGATCGTTCGAAGTTCGAGTATTCGGATTATCCTAATTCTAATCTATTAAAAAATAATAAAGGTATTATTTATTTTCCAATCCAAGATTTAATGACGATCACTGATGACGGGTTTTTCATTCCGTCGGTTTTAGATGACCTATCAAAAAAAAAAAAAAAACCCGAGAACATTATTCACCTAATCACATAATTTACATAATATTATCGTGATGGTGAATATAATATCTTTTTTCAACATTTTAAATTTTGTATATACTTTCGGTGGTAGGATGGAAGTGGCGGCACGGTGTCGGGACTGCTGGTTTGTTGTAAAACTTGTTCCATATTTTACAGACGAATGTAACTAATACTGCTGCTTTAATATGATTCCGATCGCAAGTTGCACTTCACGCAAATCATCGAGAGGCAGCAAATTGATATTGCTAATACTATATTTTTATTATATCGGGGGTACGGCGCACATGTACGCGTATCTTAGTGAACGTTTTAGGAAATTTTTTTATAGGTTAACATTAAAATGCCGTATCGCTGCTCATCGCTCGACGAACGGGTCTGTGGATCAAATAATAATTTAAATATGTACCACGTTTTCTGCCGCTTTGTTAATACATAATATAATAATTTTATGTATACCCGTGTGCCATCACACATGCATTACATAAAATATAGTGTGATCGATTTAATCACGAACCAGCGATTTACGCGGGTCTCGGAACAACCCAAGTGAATTAGATTTATGTTTTTTTTTCTGAGTGAAGTGAAAATTGTATTAGTTTTCCAAGTTGTATTTTTTTCTATGGCTGTAAAAAAATTGTCTACTAAAAATATCGCTTTAATCAAAAACTTTTTAGGAAGATGATGCAGTTTTTCTAATTTTGTCGGTATATTAATGTGATCATTTTTTTTTTCTGGTTTCTCTAATCATTTCCTTTATAAATAGGAAAAACTAACAATTTTTTTGTGTTATTTGTGTAGATTTCTGGGTTACCTTCGCAACAAATGGAAAATACGATTAACAATATGTTACTCAGAATCGTTTTTCGTTCCGTATTACAACTATATTCATAGTTATTACTTGTTGGATTATTTCACTGAAACAGCAGTTCACAAAATATACAAAAAGTTTTTAAACGTTTTCGTTTTAATATTTAGTTGGTACCTTTGTTGTACTTATGCATAGTATGTTTTTCGCTTATCCAGGTATTTACTTATCGATTTTATGCATCGACATTTTTGTTTAAAACCACGAGTAAAAGTTAATACGTCGCGTTGTGTCCTAAGTATAATTAGCATTTTTTTTTTTCAATCATTTACGTATGGAATCGTTTAAGCCTAATTTTAACACTATTTTAAGTTTGTTAGCTCTTCTCCAAGCACCTTAAACGAGTATACACTTTTGCTATTCAACCTTTGAAAAACACAATGTGAAAGTTTTTCTAAAAATATTGATATGTATAATTCTACAAATATCGGATTTGTTGTTTACTCTAAGGTGAAACAGTTTAAAGTAGAGACTCGAGGGGTACGCATTTGGACTTCGTATCAACCTGTCGTTGATAAATTACTGATACCTAACATAATAAAAATAAGCTAAATTAAGTTGATTAATTAATCTTAAACTAATTATTGAGATATAATAATTTATGTTAATATTTCATTAAAAAAAAACGAATAAAAAAAAATACATAATAATTGATAAAACTTTTAGTGAGCAATCGGTGATTCATAATAAATGAATCGCCCTGTATAATATTGTGTACGGAGTGAGAATAATAATAATTGCTATAAACAACGCCCGCGTATTCTCTCGGTTTAAACAGCGGGTCGGGAAAAACGAAAATCTACGCGGACACGCCGAGTCTGCAGCTTACAGGTCTTTATATATCTACGTCATAGTACATAATTCACTGCCGCGAGTCTAATTTTTATTAATATTTATGCGTTTTAATTTTTAGATTTCGTGCCGTATTCTCTCTGTGCGTATACGGCAGTATTTGTTTGTTTATCTAGATAATAATAATTATACGGAAAATAAATTACAATTGTCCGTGTTTCCATTTTATAAGCGTTTTTATGGAGCCAAAAAAGTTTTATCCTCATAAGCCCGAAAATAGTATACGCGAAATTCCAGGATTTTTACGATCGTCGTTAAATTTGTACTTTGAACGCGTATACATAATATAATATATTAAAAAAAAAAAAAACCTCGACTACAGATTTTCCATTTATTATTGTCTTAGTGACATCATAATAAAAACCAATACGTACCTTGTATTGAATTTTCGAGAATTTTCGATGTACAAAATCAATTTTATCAAAATACTGGAATTCGAATACTTAACTCCAAAATATTATACATCGACCGTTAAGATGAAAACTGAAACAACTTCAAAAAATAAAAATACATCAAAAATGAGGTGACCAAACCAATTGTTCGTCTTTTAAAAAACAATTCAATTTAAAAACGCAATACATATTGATAAGTTATTGAACATTAGAGATATTGAGCTATTGTTTCGTTTTAGTTTAACATAGGCTTCCAGACGTCCAGGCTTAACGTGTATCGAGTATACGCATTGCAATTAATTAATTTCTTTTTTATCTGTGAACAACTTTTCTATTTTAAATATTCCTTCAATTATCAAGTGTAGTATCTTTTTTAAAAGGAAATTTTATTTGAGCGTTTGCTCGACAATTATTATTTTACGATATTCTTAGCGATTTTTATAATAATTTAGAAAACCCGGGAATAAACGCCGGGAAAACAGAAAAACGTATGCAATTTTGTTTTTTTGTTGAGTTAGAGTTAAAATATTTAGAAAACCTATACTTACCATTTTAAACGTGCTAGAATTTTCTAAATATTTTAACCGTTTTTGAGCTATTCATAGACTATTCAATTTTGCTAGTATTTTTACGTAATTTGTATTCGGTTGATACTCTCTAGTCTGTGGATATAATATTGTTCGACCAAAAAGATGTGTTTGAAAATTTAACAGAAGGTTCATTATGTGTCGTATTCTTTGATACGATTTTTTTTTTTTTAATTTTTGTATTAAATTTTTACAAAAATCCCAATTGAAATCACGTATATTGATTAATCGTACCATACAGATGTATATTGAATCCGTTTCCATATTCTACTATCCCAATTTCTCACCTAAAACAGTTGCCTTCCACACCACGCGAATTATGTCGATCGAAAAATGAAATCGTTCTTCCGAACAAAAGTCCTATCTTTCGAGTTGTTGTGGTCTTAAACTGGATAGTCAAATAATACGAACAATAATATTTGCGTTCAGAACATCGGCGGCCATAACATTTTGTGGTGATTGAAAATAAATTTCTATGGTTCGTATGATACAAATATTATATTTTTGATATTTTTATATAGATACCGAAGTCGGGCGAATTTATAATTGGATTTCGTTTTGCAAACGCGCGACCCCGGCAACAGAATCCTGCCGCAAGGCATCCCGCCTTTCGTATTTTCCCTCCGCGTTGTCCGATCTCAAGCTAAAAGCGAATACACGTAGACACTTCAAACCGATAGTCTATTATACTTATTTTACGTGACGAAACGAATGCGTTTTTTTTTTTACGTTTAAACGCGTATGCGATGCCTTTTAACGATTCACGATCGTGTATTCTGGCTTGTATCGTTTAACCTTTCGCCATACCTCACGAGCAAACTGGACAACATTCCGCAGCGCTCTTTTCACTTGATTATTATGTTGTTGTATTTCCCCTATCCCTGTTCCCATATTGCTTTTTTCGCTTTAGTTTTTGGGTTTCTACTTCTCTCAGGCCGTTCGTTCGTCGCGTTTACACGCCCCCCGTGGGTTCGCTTTTCATTTTAAACGCTGCGCAAATCTCGTATACATAACTCGTATAATGTATCGTCTAACCATGAACTTATACATCCAGGCGTGTAAACGCTATTTGGCTAGTGACATTTCATTTCTAGGACAGAAACAAACAAAATAATAAACGGCGTTAGTTAAATGGCTGTCCTCGGAGTGAAAATTTGCTTTCGTTCAAGCTAAGCTTTATATCAGCCTATCTGTTTTGATCGGTTTGACTAACCACGACTCCTGGTCCTCGGGAGGATGTTTTATCTATTCAGAGGCGGATTTAATTAATTTTTTAGAGGGGGGGGCAATATCCTTTTGGTCTAAAGTTATAATTTTAACTAATGTGACCAAATGTCAGTCAATCAATGTGACCACTGGCTGCATAATATGATAGCAGACTACTATCTACACAGGCTATGATTATAATTTATGAACAATCTGGAATTCAATACAGATTTCTGAAAGAAATTTTTATTTATAGGTAGTTTGATGTCTATGGGAGACATGGCCCCTATGACCCTTCCCTAATCGTCATACCGGTGTATAAGATGTTTTTCTCGTCAGATTTCTGCAACCATCTATAAGTGATTTCAATAGCTAAATTTGTATAGTCATTATATACACTACGGTATCGTGCAGTGCGGCGTTTCACTCCGTCATAAACTTATAATATTTGAATAGCGTTGAATGGTCTGCAGAAATTGTTGCAGACCGATAGTTATTTTATCTGACGTTTTCCACACATTCATTTATCCATTCCAACAAAACATAGTAAGAATTTCATGAACGTTTGTATCAAGAAGATGCGTTACCTTCCGTATCCATGGGGATATACAGCGTTTAGTTTTAAATAGTGTTTCAAAGTGGTAAAAATGTAATTCCCCGAAAAGTTAATACTTTTCGAGAAAATGAGTGTCTTACGTTATGTTGATCACTGCGTATATGCCTTACATCCTTAATTTCTCTATTTCTATTACGTGACGATATTCAATGAACTATCGTGACGTAGTTGGATGTTGCTCCATCGGTTTGTCGCTTCTAAATATTTTGAAAATTTTATCTGAGTCTATATTATATACGTTTATCGATTTAAGAAAAAGATTAATTATGTATTTTAGAATAAAAAAAAAAAATAAAACCGGATTTTCTACACTGTTCTCTCGTCAGTGCTGCAGTATTTTATTTTAGTATACAGAGTAGTACGCTGTACATTATTGACTTTCGCTGTGTTTAACGAATAAAATGAGCTCTGAAAACGGCTGCTTTTTATTTTTGAACGACATCATCGAAAACACAATGGAAATGTACTGCGAACGGGATACGGACGAACAGGGTATTTGACGTAATCTCCATTTTCTAACAAAACGGGCACGGGACCCGAGGAAAATCCGTTCTTTATATTCGCAGCCGGCCAACAAAAGTTGTTTACGAAAATATTATCATTTCACGTCCACTACTATTAACAGCATATGAGAAAAAAAACCGTTTTCCAAAAATGTATACATACAATGACGTATATGTATACTTAATGTCCCGTGATGGTTATACTTTTTTTTTTTTTTTTAGTGGTCGTAGTTTCCATACATTATTTACGCTCGTATAAATTATTATTATAATAATAAATTACTCGTGAAATTATCAACACCCTGCATAAATATATGTATATATATGAGGCTCGTGACCGTTAGTTTAACATTTTTTTTATCTCGCAATGTACCTAAAATTAGAGATTTTTATAATTAATCAAATATTATATTATGTATTTTTACTATATACCTACGTTTTTTTATCACACTTAAAAATATACGTGATAATTGTATAAATTAGCCGATATGGCTGATGGGTGTGCGACTATTTTAGAAGAAAATTTGAAATGAGTATATAACATAGAGCAATTTAATTTATATCTGTACGCAACGTTAAACCATTAATAATGAAAAGAGATTCTAAATGGAGTATTTATTATCGTATATTTCTCGCGTGGTTAAGGTAACCTAGAAGTCAACAATAATAATACAAACAATTAAAAGAAATGTACAAATATAAAAACAATTTTGAAAAAATCATAGTAAAATCATTAGTATTGAGCTTCGGTAAAAACCTAAAAAACGAACTTGAATTGAACTTTCGAGTATATACGTACTGACTAATAGACGACCAGCGAAATTAAATTCGTTTAATAAATCAACTAAAAATATAGATACTTGTACAAAACGTTTGTGATTTTTACGAGTCTCGTCGAAATTGAGTACTTTTAATACATTTATAATAAAATAAAATTGTGGAAATCGTTTTGCAGAAAATTAGTACACTCCTTAACATTAGTACAAATATATTGCATTTCTCATCATTTCATAGATATATAAAACAACTAAACATCCGATAGTTTTGGGATATGGAGTTAACGTCTACATATACTAACAGAATGAATTATATTGATTTGACCGTTTTCGCCATGGTTTTCGTATGGTCGCATATATAGAGTCGAATGCGTTATCAAATTCAAATATTTTCAATATTATCACTTCTTGGCTAAAATAAATATTTTATTCGTTAATTAATATAAAATTCGCCTTCTTATTAGTATTACAATATAATAGCTATCAAGCTTCATACTTACTCAGGGAGTCGAATAGGTTAAAATAACCCCAAGGAATATAGCCAAATACAAAAATCGCCATTTTTTTCATAGCCATTTTAATTTGGACATTATTAAATATTGTACTCATTTGTTCTATATAGGTATCTAAAAATGTCGATTATAATCTCTCAATAAACACGCGTTTTATTTGGTTTGTTTATCTGTTCTCCGCAGGCACAGTTGTTGCGACCCCGCCCCGACCGTGCTGTCCGGCGCCGGTATATGTCTAATCGTGTTGGGCTACACGATGTTCGGCGCGTTCACGTTCATGACCCTGGAAAACGGCGGTGGTGGAGCCCGGGACACAGTGCAACAGCAGATCCGCAACGGCCAGCAACAGCAACAGCAGCAGCAGCACCAGCACCAGCATCAGCACCAGCAGCCTCCCGTTGTGGGTCAGCAACAGCAACAGCTACAGCAGTACCAGCTAGCCCGGAACGATAAGCTCCGGGCGCAGACGGTGGAAAAACTGTGGAAGATCACTGAAGACCTGAACATATTGTACCGGGATAACTGGACCCGGTTGGCCGAACAGGAGATACTCAAGTTCCAGGACACATTGATCCGCAAGTACGGTGGACCCAATCAGACGGACCGGAGGCATAGGTGGAACTTTGCGTCATCGTTTCTGTACTCGTTGACGCTCATCACCACCATCGGTAAGTATAGTCATCGGTTGGTTCTGTCAGTGAACAACCTTTTTTAACGAAAAATTAACTCCGGTGTATAGTGTATATTACTTTTTATGAAAGAAAATGTTATCTTGTTGACATTTTAGACAATTCATTTTTTTGATTTACTAAGGAGTTTTCATAATAATTAGGAAAAACCAGCAAATATGAAACGAAAACTGAAATCCGAATTTTTTTTTTTTTGTTATTCTAAAACACATAATTAATCTATTTCCTATGTATATTTATATAGACAAACGTATATAATATTCAAAATATTTAGAAGCGACAAACCGATGGAGCAGCATCCAACTACGTCACGATAGTTCATTGAATATCGTCACGTAATAGAAATAGAGAAATTAAGAATGTAAGGCATATACACAGTGATCAACATAACGTAAGACACTCATTATCTCGAAAAGTATTGACTTTTCGCGGAATTACATTTTTAACACTTTGAAACACTATTTAATAACTATACGCTGTATATCCCATTTTTATACGAAGTCAAATTTTCGAAATACTCTTGCTATTCTCGGGATAGGTATTTATAGAGATTTGATATTTTCTTGTTTTTTATGTATTTTTTTTCTTTGGTAGGTATCTGTTATTAAAATTATATGACTTATGAGAAATGTTTGAAAATTTAACACAAGGTATATTATAAGTTTCCCTTAATGTTCTAAAAAAAACAAATTTGTATTTAATGTATTACTTTTTTTCTGTAAGCGTTTTAAGATCAAATGTTGATGGAAATCGTAAAAATTACAAAAATTTTAAAATATGTCTTATTGAACATCGCTCTGAATCGTATTCCGTCAGCAATAATTTATTCATTGCGTACTGATTCAAATTATCCTAAATTAAACTTAAAGTATCCTACCTTTTCACTTATAAAGTGGCCGCACCTGGCTCCAATATCTATTCTTTTTGTTTTCTTGGATGCAGACCTTGAGAGCTTTTTGCCGCTTCCATCAAGTCTCTATATTGTTTTTTATCGTCCGTGTCCTCAATTATCGTCGTTACCAAATATTTCCACTCTATCAAACTATCTATGGTGGATTCTATCTCTTGGTTTTATTTCATTTGGATAATTAATAATGACCTTAGGTATTATTTTATCCTCTACCTATCAAGATGGCATGTAAAACGTTTAGTTTTTAAATAGTTTTGTATGTTTAGCTTGTTAGAAATGAAAAGTTATTAGTGAAACACACTTAATTGTTTAAAATTTAACATGATATACATAAATAAACAATATCAAGATGTACATCAATAGTTAATTATTGTTTTTTACGTCTTTTTTTTAATCTACTAGACGTGCACCGTATCCGTCACATTTAATTATATTGTGACTGGAGATAATGAAAACAATTTTTTTTTTCTTTATCATTTACCTATACACAAATGAAAAGTTATTAAATATTTAAATATTTACCTGTATCTAGACAATTATTGAGTAATTATTACATCTTTTGTTATCTCCATTTAGAGATTGTTAATTATTCGAGCAAATTGCATCCCTTTTATTTATCTATAGATAATTTTAAAAGTGCCTTTATATACGACACTGCTCGCTTGAGACACATGTGGTATAGTGATGTCAGGGATATAAGAAACGCGGAACCTGGAGAATAATGGTTGGAGGTAGCGGAGGACAAAAATTTACGGAGGAGTATATTTTGCTCGGAGGGCTGATCTTAAATACCGTTACTCCTTAAACAGAAGAAGAATATACGACTCTACAAATGTCATAACTGTGGCTAAATAAACATGAATGCCAAGAAAATAACAATGTGCACGTCTTAGCTGACGTCAAACGGAGCAAGTCACGGTACAAACAGTTATTTGATTGAAAAATAAACAATGGCTGTTGTCTTATAGTATCAATATTGTTTTAATACGAAAAAATTTAAAACGGCGGCGGGAAAATGACGTCACTCGGAGTGAACGATAGTTAGTTTTATGGTTACCTCGCCCGTTTGCTTAACCGTCATGGTTGCCATCAATGGAAACGCCAAAAATAATATCACGTGCGTGGGTACTTTATCGAAGTTCCAAAGCGATATAATATTTTTTATCTACTCGGATTGTGAAGAAGATTTAAAAACGAATACACGCTTACCTACCCACGGCCACGCGAGTATTTCGAAACACCATTGCAATGTAATATATAGGTTTTTTTAAATATTTGATTACGTACAGCGCATCCCCGTATACAATGTACTTGTATACCTACATCGTAAATCTTAACGCGAGTACGGTATCGCATAGCGTGGTGTATCGTAACTCAAACGAAACATTATAATATTATCCGAGAACTTATTATTTTTGCCGACGTATCTTTATTATTATTATTATTATTTAAATTGGTAATATTCCGTGGCGTTCGCATAAATATTATAATCCTTAAGTGTGCGTGTGTGTAAACATTCGTTTTTCCTCCGTGAAGACAACGCGACATTTGTAAATTATATTATTCATTTTTTTTTTTTTTTTTTTTTTGCTCGTATTATTTATTTAAACTCGTCCCGCGCGTATCGTAAGTCAAAACGACGAGCTTAAGCGATCGGATTAAATAAATAATAATAACGCAAAAAAAAAAAAAAAAAGAGAATAATAATAATAACAGACCCGGCGTGAAAATGATTTAGCGCGGACGCGTTAGATAATTTATTTTATTTGTCTAGATAACATTATAAAAAACCGAGCGCCTAGGTTATGATGGCGTTGAAATATTTTTTGAAACCTATTAAGTTTGAATTTTTTAAAAAAAATATCTGATACTCCCCACTGGAGTGTGCCACTTTTTTAGGTGGAAAACCGGGAATATAGAATGCTCGCCGTTATTTCATTTTTATTTATATACGCAACGGTAAATCATTACTGACAAAATTCGATTCAAAGTTCGTACCAGGCACGAATCCAGAGTAAAGATCTGGGAAAGGGCCTAACAATTTTTTTACAATTAAAATATAACAAAATATATTGTGTATATTATTTTTTCACACACATAAATGATTGGAATATAGTAATATCAGGATCTGTAGAATTGTAAAAATAATTCGGAAAAATAATATGTCTGGGGGGCCTGAACCTCTAGACCCCCTTTTCTTGGATCCATCCCTGGTTCGTACAACCTTGTTTTGAAATATTATGATCTGTACGATTTTTATTTAAAATTTAAACTTAAATACTTTTTTTATTCAGTATGCTCAATTTTTTGTTTTCATCGTAAAGTACAAGTTATGATGAAATTTGAAAAAAACGAAACAAAAATAAATAAAAACTTAAAAATTTCAAATGCTTATAAATAAATCGCCAGAATGTTTTATACATTTTACGTCGCCTAAAAAAATCCGATTTAAGTATTCTGGGAAAATTTAAAGTCTCATAATTTATTTTTAACTTCATAGTGAAACTGTCAGTTTCGTAAACTTTGCCATTTTTGCAGGTTTTACCAGTTGTTAGAAAATTGCAAGGATTATTTAAAACCGACTACTGAACACAACAATAGGCAACAAGAAACTTCCACTTTTTGTAAGATTTTCAAAAAAAAAACATAATCGAAAATAATGAAAATTTGTTCGTTTTTTCCATACGTATTTAGTGGTGTTCTTAATTATTACGAAAATTGCTTGGAAATCAAAACAATACACCTTTAATGCACCAATTAGATCTAAAACGCTAAAAAAAAAACTTGTAAATTTTGATTGGAACACAATTTCTAATAGACAAATTGTTTATGCAATTAAAAAAAAAAAACTCGTACATCTTAATAAAACCAATACGTTTCTCGCTATGCCCAGAATCTAAAATAATGATTAAGAGGACTGGATACCGATATATCGTTTTTAGTATGAGAAATAAATATTTTATCAGTAAACTTGCAAATATATCCATATCGAACCCCGCAGTACGTATAATAACCTTTTTTTTCCATCCCCGGAATACACGAACCCGAGCAAATTATTCAGGTCGTGTCATCGGCTGAAATTTCGATTCGTACAAAATATTATAATATCAAACTCGGTGTACACGGTCGAATTATTCAGCGGTGTATGTTTAAATTACGATACTAAGGAGATGAATTTTTCTGCACGGAGGGGGAGAGGATCCTATCCGCCCGACTCTATAATATAATCCAGATTTGTATATATATATATATATATATATATATTTCTGGGAACATAATGTTGTATAGATTATTATTTGGGTATCTTCGAATAGACATTTTTTTTTTTTCCATATTCGAATGTCCATTTCATACCGCGGTAGTATATATTAAAGTTTATGGGATACGGTTTATTTATACAATCACTCGTCATCTATATAAATACGTGAATAATATTATTAATTGCTATCCGTTTTAATGAATTTTGTGTAATTTCCCCAGGAATTATAAATCCGATGTTTTCAAATACTTCTGGTTAACCGCCAGCATAATAATTATAAACTTCTGGACAATTATTGTTTAAACTGTTTAAATCAATTTTTGTGTTTTTGTCAAATCTTCTCCAGAGATAAAAACGATTGCACTGTGGCTCTTTGTCTGTTCTATGTGTATATATATATCAGTGGCGTGTGGCAGTATTTAAAGCAAGTGCCGGAAAAAAAAAAAAAATAACAATAATTGACAACCGTTAACAAAGGTAAATTATAGTTTAAAAAGAAAACCTTAAAAAACTTATATACTATGTACAATCTATATTTGATTATTTGTTATGGATGCCAGTGTACGTAAATAATAACATTATTATAGTGCGTGAAAAAAAAAAAAACCAAATTATCGAACGTACGGTATGAATAGATCCGTTTCTAAAAGATAACTATAATCGCAGCGCTTACCAATAGCTGCGTAAAACCGTGATATCCCGTCCTACCGCAACCGTTCGTGCTTGATATTATAATGATACGAGCCGTGTATTCAAAAGCCCAAGCGTTTTTATCAATACCTAAATAATATACAAATTTAACGTTTTTTCTTATTACAGATATTTAAAAAAAAAAAAATTCCTTGCACTAAAAATATGGTATACTTTGTCTATTAACATTCAACATTGAATACGTTTCTTTTTGAACCTCCCCTTTTTTAGATTTTTTTATTTTTTCATGTCGTCATGTAAATTTGAATTATTTTATACTATTTGCTTGTCGTGCATATTATATATATACACAGATATTCATAAATTGTTCATTTCTCTAAAAATACATTGATATCAGGACCGAGCACATTAATAAATCAAAAAATGTCCAAAAACTCGCATTTTTATTTCCTTAAGGACGCAACTTTACATATGCAAAATTTATCTAATAGGTACCTGTTGTGCGTCATGCAACCATAGGCGAATTTTCGATATTCGCCGAAACCGATGGTTCATGCGTGAATAATCACCGTTCACTGTCAAACATTCACCGTTTTGCCGAAACTCAATCACATTTATAGTTGTATACATCAATATGTATAATACATATAATGTTTTGTAATTTATTTTTTCTTAAAAATACACAACGTATTACCTGCCATCGTATATCAGTGCTATACTGAATGGCACATAATAATAAAAAAAAAAGGAATGTAGTAAATTTTTTCATAAGCGTTTAAAAATCATATCTTAACGCAATTTACACCATTTACACCAGAACATCGCTCTGAATCGTTTTTCTTAACCAATAGGTTATCATTGTAATATACATTAAACGATTTTATGTAATACATCTCCCCAGGTTTCTCATAAGTACACTTACCCAACTTCTCACCAACAATAGTGGAGCTTACCCATTTTTTTTTTTTTTTTTTTACGTACACTTTTTCTACGTATTTAAAAGAAAATTAATAATTGTTCGGTGTGCTTACGATATGCGCATTTAAATCGCTTTTCACGAATAAATTACACGACGACGAGTTGTTACGATAATACGAGTAGTCATACTACACGTCGGTGAAGTAACTCACCTACGGTTGTTAAGTATAGCCTTACTGAATTGTGCCGGTGCGAAGCGAATATATATTACAGAGTAATGGCAACGCTCGTAAAATTAAGTTTCATTATAAATTTCGAAAAAAATAAAATATATAATATATATTCACCTGTGATACCGAATACGATTTATTGTACGCAGCACAAACCCTATATTGTAATTTTAATAAATGTTTAAGATTGCAAAAGTTTTAGGTCATGTAACGAAATTAGTTTTACTGAGCTTTTTTGCTGTTTCTAAACGATAGATTTTTTACTAGAAATTTTGTTACAATCTTCAAATTTGCGAACGATTTAAGGTGGGCAATTTCATCTAGTGGTAATTGCGTTGATGGTGTCATTTTCTATGTTTTTCTGGTAATTGTAATAACTAGCTACAATAATAAAGTTAAGTGTCCGCGTTCGTACGTGATTCACAGCCGAATAATCAAATTACGTTACGGCTCGATGTACACACTGTAATGAATTAACTCCTAATCTAAAAAAGGACTGGAATTAAATTAGCATTAGCAACGTCGCCGATTGGACCGCAGGTATTTAGCAGATAAATTAGCAGACATCTTTGTCTTTAAAACAACCGTGAAAATTATTAGATATCTTGATTTTGAAGGATTTTTTAGACATGAAGTTTATTTTTCTAATTATGTATCTTAACGAATTCGAGTAGGTATTTTGTTTGCAGTTATCCGCTAGTATAGTGTTTAATGAACCGACTTTTAGGACACACGGGTTGCAAATAGGTACAATAATAATTATATTTTAACATCGTCAACTTTTAGACTCTGAGTGGAGCGAAGAAGCTTATGGTTTTACAAAGATATTTTTTTTTCTGCGGACAACTTTTTCGTAAGCATTGGTTTACATCGTTAATTAAAGGTATGCATTAAATTATCTATAACAGCGGCTGCACCCATCCCTATTATCCTAGGGCGTCTTTTTTTCTTATGTTTTCGCAGCTGTGACCCAAATCCATTCTATACAAATGTACCCGCGTAAATTACGTTACGTCGGAAAATTGTTAACTGTAATTGTAATGTGTTTAATGAGAAAACTACGTAGATATACTTTTTAAATATACATTGTGATAATTATGGCATTAAATGTATTGAAATTTCTGAGTACCTTCATCAATATTTCTTTTTTAGCTACGATTATCATTTGAAAAAAATATAAAAAACGTTTTTTTATCATATTGTAGTACTCCTCTCACGTCATACTCTAAAACGTAACGCGTATCTCTTTATGTTTAATATTATAGTGTTATTATAATAATATTCCTCGGAAATGATTGTAATCGTGTTATTAAAAGTGAGTAAAATAATATTGCTTCCCTTTATAAACTGTGTTTTTTTTTTTTTACGAAAGTTATTTTTCTCGTGATACAAGGCGGTTTTATACAAACCTGGGCGCAATAAGTTGATGAATTATTATTCTTCAACTGAGTTAAATTAAATTAATTGAAAAAAAAAAAACCATCGAATAATTATTGAATTAATTGAAATAATTATCGAATTATTGACAAAAAATTGTAATAGTTGGCTATAATAACCGTATGACCTTCGCCAGTGACCTATAAGTGTTAGGTCATGTAACCTAACCCTACCGATTTCCCCGTTTTTCCTACGTTTTTTCCGGTTTTCCTATGGATTTTTCCCAGTTTTCAAATTTTCTGGGAAAATTCCGGAGAAAATCGAAAAACGACATCTTTAAAGTAACTCTAGTGAAATTTTCTTTTAGAAAAATTGCCATCATTAAAAGTTGAAGCAAAATAATTGCTAGTACCAATTTGCTTTTTTAAAAGGTGCTACACGTAAATATAGGAGCAAGATTTCTGGTAGAAAAATTGTCTATAGAAAAAAAAAAAAAACATCTTTGTAAAAACATCAGCCTCTTCGCTTTCGCTCAACTCAGAATCTAAAAAAGCCAAGTATTAGTATAAGTATAATTTTCTTACTGCATAGAAAATTAAAATCGATTATTCTCAGACTTATTTTGATATAAAACATTTTTGAGAAAACACTACACTCACTTATTCTATAAGTAAGTTTAAGTATATGATGGCGTTTCGAACAGACATACGGCTGCGCGATTATTTCGATTAATCGATTATTAAATTTTTTTTATTATTCGTTTGACGATCGGTTATTTTGAATCAGTTAAAAATAATCAATTAATAACTGTCCACTTTCTTAAATTCGATTAATCGTTTATAATAGAATATTATTAGAATAAACGATTATTTTGGGGAAAAAAAATTATCACGCAGACCTAAACGGATAATATGTTGTTTATCCAGAAACTGTATTCGAGATAGTCGAACCAAGTCATTCGTTGCGAACATAAACAGAATATTAAACGTCGTGCAATGCGTGCGATTGCCGAATGCGCGGAGGCACTCACTAGATAAGGGAATGGATAAATCCCCTTGTGTGTTTTCCATAACATTAAATAACATATAATATTTTATATTCGTATTGATATATGAGTTTTTTTCGCATCTATAAGCTGATTTTTCCCCTGGCTGTTTGTGATCAAAAGACGCCATTTTTTTTTTTTTTTTTTTTGGTTTCTGTAGCATAATCAACATTTATATTTTAACGTGATTCACCAAAACTTAAGTTCGCGCTTACGCTAAATATAATAGGAAAACCGAAGTCGTTTTCGTGGCTTCCCGCATTTTTCGTCTTTATGAATTCAATGTATTTCGTATATTATGTTTGTGTAATGCAGTTTATATACATCGAATTTTGGAAGGGGATGATAACGTTTTTTTTTTTTTTTTTTTTGAAAAAAAACAAGACAAATCGAATAGGAACGTGGACAATTAATAAGTGACGATTGAAACTCCGGTGGACTGGTGGCGAAATGGAATCGTATATTTTTATTGATCAGTGAGAACGAAGGAAAATTGTTATTGTGAAATCAATGCCGCAACTGTATCGGCCAACTTTCATCGGTTAAATCTTGACATTTAATTAATTATTATTATATATATATATCGCAATTGAACCATATTTTACCAAAAAAAATTAAGATGTCAGATTTTTCGGCTCATCAGAACGTGCGAGGTTAAGTACTCGATAAAAACATACAAATAACATTAACGTTCGTGATTTGGTGATAATACGTATGCCTACTAGTTAATAGAACACAATATGTTAGTTTACATTCATAACGTCGGGAAGGGGGAACTAAAGCAGTCTTGTTATCATATTGACTTGTGAAATATTCTTTAAAACGCCACGAGTTAATATATTTGACAGTTGGTCTATAGATAATGATCAATTTGAAAATGTATAGATAGTATTGTCGTGATTAGGTAAAAAGCGAAAACTCTGAATACATTTTTATCCTAAAATAGCTTTCGCACAAAATCGCATGCATTTTTTGATTAATATTTTAATAAAAGCAACTTATGTATATTCTGACCGTTGTCCGTGTCGCGACAAATCCGCGTCCAGTTGTCCACCGACGGAATCTTCTGATTTGGTTCTCCTCCTATAAATATCCTTCCACGTACTTTTTCAACGCGTCTTCCCCGTATCTCGTCATTGATCTTTCCAAAGGTCTTTTTCTTATTGCGGGGTCCGTTACAGGCCGTTGTAGTAATGAATTATAAGTGGCGCGTTCGGCCCGTCGCAGTTGGCTTTTCCGTTTTTTCGAAATGGTGTCGATGAAATATTATTTTTTCCCAACGCGTATAGTTCGTATCCGCGGCTCTTCGTATAGTATTTCCTCCGTCTCGGCCGCTGTAAGAATATTCTTTCCGGTATACATCGCCAAATGGGAAAATCGAAAAACGTCTATTCTTACGTCGAGTACAGTATGTTATACAAAGGAATTTTACGCATTTTTCTCGCAACGAACCGCTATAAAAATAACGGGGCGTTTTATAACAATGAACTATACGACTCCGGCCTTGTGCGTACACACGCATGTTCACTTAATGTATGCTATATAATTTTGTACACCTTCTGTAATACTAAAAATAATAACGATGTAATGAAATCGTATTGATTACGATAATTCGCTACCGGCGACGGTTTTCAAGTTTTGGCTGTGACCATAATAGTATAGTATAGTGTAACATGCATTATATTATACGAGTAATCGGCGTGCGGAAAATCGCGCGTACACCGGACGCAAACCGTTTTCTCTGCGTCCAAAATCAACGCGATAACGGCAGTTATGTAGTTTATAGATACGCAGTTTTAAAGGCCGCCAAAAGATAAGGTGTTTAGGACTCGACTTGGTATACTATACAGGATGCTCGTGACGATTCACTTTACCGTATGCACATCCGCGTGTAATCGTCGATTTATGTGCAAATCCAATAATAACATCTATGCATTTATGTAAATTGCGTTTGTTTTGTGTGCGGTTTACTCGCGCGTTTTCGAGTCCTTTGCCTCCGCCCCCCCCCTCTCGGCTCTTCCTCTATCCGTTAAAACGGTACTTTTTTTTTTTTACAGATTATTGAAACGAAATATATGATATTGATAAACATTTTCGACATCACGTCTGTGTGCAGTACAGTATTTACCCCCGAAACCAAAAAACCAAAAATAACAAAGACAGTACACGAAGAATAATCAAATCGTTCAATGTTCAATGATCGTTTTTTATAACAATACACACTAAATATTACCAAGTATAGGACAGTTTCATATTTAACGTGGGGGAGGGAACGAAAGCTATCTCCCTTGACTTTATATATATATATTTTTTTTTTTTTGGTATCTTATATTTTATACGAATAACTACGAATTCCAATTGAATTTCTTTACTTTTTAATCTTAAAATCAATCAGGTGTGGGTACCTTGTTAATATATCAAAAACATATTAACTGATAAATTATTATGGATTGGTTAAAAATTATTATTTTTATTTACATTGTTTTTACAAAGAATGTGTTGCAGGTTTTACAAAGAAGTTTATATTTTTTTGTAAACACTTTTTTTACCAGAAATCTTATTATGTTTATCAAGTATAGTATTTTCTCTGTAAGGAAATGTTCTCTGGATGGTACTTTAAAGAGGTCATTTTTTGAAATTATTATTATTCGAGTTAATGAGGAAAACCTGATTCTTTAGGTTAAAATTGATTGAAAGATTAAAAATAAGATTGCCAATGGCAACCGCTTTTATTTATTTTTATTATGAAATTTTTATTAAAAAAAAAAAAAAATATTAAAATACAATAAAAAATGTTATTATAAAATTTTTATTTTTAATTTTAACTTTTTTCAAACAATCATTGTTGTCATGGAAATTCACATCGTCGTAATCATTTTACCATAATATGTCATATAAATTGTTGAAAAAGCAACGCTATTAACTGAACTCCACTGAAAACCGTTTTTTCGTTTCAATGGTTTCTCGTTGTTTACATATGTACATTAAATCCCCATCTGTATCCTACCACCCCAACTTCCCAATTTCAAAAGTGGCTTCACTCACTTGTGAAGTATGTCCGTCCTTTTTATTTTTTATCTATATTTTTTCCAATATCAGTTTCCGTATGTCTATATCATTATCCATTTATTTCCCATTATTCACTCCCAATATATCGTTTCTTTCCAGATTCTATCAGCCCGTTTTTGTCTCAGACGTTCTAGTGGGCTTATATTTTCGGGTGTTCATGTTATAACTGCCCAAATTATTTTAACTGTACTCGCCATACTGTTTAATCCGTCCAGCTAATCTTTTTATTTTTCATCGTTACAACTTTATCAACGTCTATTGATGTGTATCTGACTTTCTGCCTTCCTGATGAGTTCTTCGTTCGAATTTCCTCTTAACTTAATAGATTAGGTCACTTTAAAATTTCTTCTTAGAATAAATAACTTATATTTATTAATTCGTTTATAAAATTATAACTAACTACGTCGGTAAATAACATATTTCGCGACGGACATATTTTGGCTCGCTTGTATGAATTTCGGCCTACCGCAGGTTTTTTTGTTCTTCTTCAAACGCTTGGTGTTGATGTTACAGGTTACGGTAGCGTGACGCCGCAGACACCGTGGGGCCGGGTGATCACGATCGTTTACGCGCTGATCGGTATACCACTGATGCTATTGTACTTGTCGACGATGGGCGAGACGTTGGCCAAGAACTTCCGACGCATTTACTCCAGACTATGCTCGCCGTCGTCTGGACACCGTGACGACCGGGAAGATGACGACGGCATCGGCCGTGGTCGTTCCGGCAGCGGAAAACGAGCGCCGCCCAATACGGTGTCTAGCAACCACGTGGGTGCCACGGACTACATGGGCGGCAGTGGCGGCGGTGACTATTACCACCACCGGTACGAGTTTGAGACGGTGTCTGGCGCTGCCGCCTACGCCGACATGGCTAGCGGAGGTTCCTGTTCGACCGGTTCCAGCGGCAGTGGAGGCCAGAAACGCGTGCCCGTTCTGCTGTCCCTGTCCGTGGTCGCCGCGTACGTGGCGCTGGGCGCGTTCATCTATCAGAAACTCGAACGGTGGACCCTGCTGGAAGGATCGTACTTTTGTTTCACCAGTCTGGGCACCATTGGGTTCGGCGAGCTGGTTCCGGGCGGCGTCGAGTCCACAAAGGACGTGTCCGTGTTTGTGTCTTCCGGTTACATACTTGTCGGTATGGCCGTGGTGGCCATGTGCTTTCAGCTATTGCAAGACGAGCTGGCCGCCATGTCTCGGAACTGCCGATGGTGCTGCTGTTGGTGGTGGTGGTGGTCGCAACAACAACAGCAGCAGCATTATCAGCAGCAGCAGCAGCAAATTCACCACCGGCAAAAGGAGCAGGTGGTCGTCTGCACGGTCGGAGGGGCCGCAGAAGATGACGATGCCAGCAGCCCTCCGCCGTCGTCTCGGCACAGCGGCCGCGGACGACAGTCTGGACCGCCACACCACAGCACCGTGCGAAACAGCGGGAGCGCTACCAGTTCCTGACACGTGGATTTCGGGCAGCCGCCGCCGCCGCCGCCACAGGGCACCACCGTAGCCATCGACTTGAAACCGTTGGTGCCGGCGTCGTCGTCGCCACCACAGCCGGATCAAAAGCCGCCGCTTTTGCCGCCACCCGCGTTCGATGACCACTGTAACGACGACATGGACGACGATGACGGCGGCCACCACGGTCACGACGGTATGGCCGACGACGGCAGAGGCCGACACCGCGTAACACTGCCCGCACCACCGCCACCGTTCCAACGACAGTCGTTAGGTCGGTGTTCCGTGCAACAGCCCATGATGGGCAACAGCCGGTCGGCGGCCACCCATTATTCTGACGGTGGCGGAATGGTGTCCGAGTACTTCATACCGCGTAGCGTCAGTGCACACGACCTGTGCTCGTCCATAGAACTGCAGAAGATACCGCCACCGCTGCCGCCCTCGGCGTTGCGCACCACCGCGGCCACACTCGCCCGGCCACCACGCGCACCCACCGCGTCCCGGGATAAGATGGTCACGTTTGAGGACGAAAAACTCGCGTTCGGCCCGCACCACCACCACCACCAGCATCACCTGCAGCAGCAGAACCATCACCACCAGCAGCAGCAGCAGCACCACAGATCCAGTGGCGATTTGATCGTATAAATCTCGGCATGTACATACCTATTTAGTTATCATAATTTACCTATATAAATAAATATATAAAAACCTATATACTTATACGTTATAATGTTAATGTAATTCTATAATATGATATTATAATTATAATTATTTATTATTATTATTATTATTATTATTATAATTATAATTATTATTAACACGTGGTTTAAGTGGTTAAGTAATTTTTGTATTTACTCGCCGTGATGCGTCCGCTCATTATTACTGTTATTATTATTATTATTACTATTATTAATACGATTATTATTATTATTATTTGTGGTACTGCAGACACCGCGTTCCGCCCGCCTTATTGCTGCGAACTGGGCATATTTTTGTTCGTGATTAGCCCGGTAATAGGCGTATACATAATATGAATTGACCCGATTGCGCCTCGAGTAAAATTCACTCAAAAGACATCCGATAAGAAATGGAAGGTATCGTGGAAGAAAAAAAACCGCGACTTATGTTTCCACGAAAAACGTTGATATTTATCGTAAACAACACCGTAGATAAATGGCTCCGCGGTTAAAGACTCTAAGTGGTTACACAACGAGTTGCCAAAAATCGGCTGCCAATGATCCTTGTAAAAATACAGAAAAAACACGAAAAATTCTGCCTTATGGCAAGACCAATTTTAAATTACCGCCAACGTTGCCGACTGTGTTATCAATTATTTGTCGATGAGCTAATGGTTATAAAGAGGGGGATGGGAGGAGGTGAAGAAGGCGTAGTCCTTTTAGTAAATAAGTCTATGTTTTATAGGTGTACAATATCAGTGCCATCTGGCGGTCAACGGGCGTGCAATATAAATATACCCTCGCTCAGAGCCCGGATTCGGTCTTGGAACCCTGGGGACGACGGTTCGTCGGTAGGGTTTTTTGACCGTCGAAAATATTCATTATAAGAGAGGATTAGAGAACAAGGCCGATCAAAAATATGCTCTGCTATCATAAAGACAACACTTCGTCGTCGTCGTCGGCCCAAACGGTAAATTCTTTTTCGGAAAAAAAGTATGGAAGAAATGAAGCGAGTGCATTTTTTATGTTATTTAAAAGTGCGTATACTTTGGAAAAAGGTTTTTTTTTTTTTTTTTTAATCGTAAGTAAAAGCGATTGGATTTTCCGGAATCGAAAATCGGTCGTGCGGAAGTCACCACGACGCTAAACCGATTTTTCTCTCTTCTTTTTCACCCTTACCGCGAAAAGAGATTATAAACCGTTAAGTTTTATTTCCCGAGGTTACGGCCGAGGTCGGACCGACGACGACGACGACGACGGGGTCGCGCAGGGATTTATTTTTGGATTTTAAAATGAAAATTTCATTTCGAGGTATAATAGATATTTGTGAACATTTTCCATACCGGAGCAGCACGCAAAAAGTGACGCACTGCCAAAATGCCCGTTTGAGGTGTACGTACAGACTGCTACGGTCGCATTGGTTACGGTAAAACCGTAGTTTTTCGTATTTCTTTAAGCTCTCAAAAACGAAATTCCTTTTGTGGGTCGGTAGTTGTCGCTTCACGCGTTTTAACGATACCGCACTGCCCGACAGGCGGTTTACGGACGCGTACCGGATCGGCTAAAGCGAGCTTAGGCGGTACAAGGGTTAAAAAAACGATTGAAAAAAAAAACACTAAAAAAAAATACCGTTTCCGTTCCGTAGCAGCGGCGCGTACGTTCGGTTCAAAACGCGTTTGCGAAAACAATGGTAAAAAAAAAATTTTCGTCGGACGTTGGGATCCGCGCCCGAAAATCCGCAAACGACGCCCCCCCACCCCCGCGAGTGTTACCGCGCGAATAAGGGGCGAAACCGGAGTTGTGCGGACCGCGGAAAACTGTTAAAATTATTATTATTATTATTATTATGTAATTGTATAATATTATGACGTACAATAAGATTCGTGTTGGCGCCGCGGCTCCTTTTTCTTTAAAAATTTTTTTTTTTCTTTTGTTGGACGTTTGTTATTTTCGTTTGTATGCGTTTGTCTTTTCTTTTTTTTTTTTTGAAATTTTCAAACTATTATACCGTTTACCGTAATATTACAATTATTATTATAATACGCATATTTTATAGTGTTATATATTGGAAATAATATATATATAAATATTATAATTGTAATAAAAAAAAATTATAATAATAACAACTGTTTGAGTTCGAATTGTCGTCGTGTTTTTACTTGATATTTTTGTTTGTGACTTTTATTTGTGTATGTTTTTTTAAGCGGGCTCGCGCACCCCTCGCCGTAGTCGCGCTGTTACAGAGGAGTACCCTGCCGCCCCAACCCAGCCGCTCCTTTTTCGCTAAATGTACCGCCACCACCGGTCGGTCGCGTGGTTCACCGAAAATCCTAAACAAACACGCCGAAAAACCGCCACTGTCGACCGCCGCCATCATCGTTACATATTACATTGTTATAATACAGCCGCGTTTAAAGGATCGGTTCCGGTGATTCGCCGACCTTTATCCTCGGAATCGGTCGCGAAATACATTGCCCCCGAATGCGCCGCAGGCGGAATACGACGGCCGGTTTATTTGTATCGGACCGTAAAACACTAACAGTTTTAGCGTCCAGAAGTGTCGCGGCTAAAAGGCAGAGCCGGGCGTTTCAACGTGTACCTCACCGTTTCCGTTATAATAACAGTGTTGTGTAGTGATAAGGCATCACACAGGCCGGCGAGATAGTGAGCGTTTTTAACTTGTGATATTTTTCAGGTATGCACGTGTCTCGTTTGAAAACAATTAAAATATCCGACATGGTTGCACAGATAACGTCCTAATCAAAAAACTCGACCTATTCTAATACTAAAACTGATAACAGCACAAAGTTGTTTCCGCCGAACGTTAACAGACAGACGTGGACAACTTTTCTACCAGAGATCTTGCTCCTCCTATTTTGAGGAGAGAGTTTAAACGAAATCGACGGGAAAATATTTAATTTGTAAACCTGTGGTCAATGGCCGTATTTGATGGACCCGACGGAATTCTAAGGAATTCGTTTTCGTCAAATTTGAGTACGGAACCATAAAAACGAATTTCGTCGTTTTTAACCGTCGCGCACAGTGGGACGGCTACATGAAATGTAGCCCGCTGAAACTGTCGTTTAAAAATATCGTTAAATCCCGAATAATAGAAAAAAAAAAAAAAAAGTAGATATCTGTATAATAGCCATCCTATCGATTTATAACGATTTTACGATAAATATTTATCAGTTATTGGCACGATAACGATTAGTCGCTTCTGTATATTGTGGGCCGGTACACGTTGTAGGTTGACCATGAAAATGTAATGAAAATACGGGACACTCAAAAGAAACAAATTATACACGACGTACAAAGAGGTAAGTGTGATAGGTTGTGATAAGAAGACCTTACTATAAATATAATTTAAAAAAAAAAAAAAAACAAAATAAATATGCTCTGCAAAAAGGTTTTTAAATACAAATAAAACATATTTTATACACAAAGACAATAATTCTGTTTTGATGACGGCGGTTGCTCAGTTTCGTCTTCCGCTGTTTCGTGCTGAAATAATCGCATCGACTATAATTTATTATCTTTTCGTAAAATAATGTAAATCGCATAACAAGAATCTTTTTTTTTTTTAAATGCGTCCATTGCTTATTGTGTATTGCAGTGTATAATATAATGTACCCGCCAGAACGGCCAAAACAAGAACCCAAAAATATCACTGTTAAGTCGATTTTATTGAATAACGTCATTTATAAGTTCAGATAAATTTCAACAAATGATTTATTTAACAGTAAGGGAAAAAACGGTAGTCATATAGCAAAAGCTTAAAAAAAAATGAATAACGAAATGCGTCCCGTGTACGTTTCGCGGGGACAAAGGGAGAAAAAGTTGAAATAAAAGACAACCCCGTTTAAGACGGTACTTTTGGTCACCTTAATATTTAGTATTTATAAGGTCCGTTACGAATTTTCGTTGCAACGGATTTCCGGAATATTTTTGTAATTTGCTCACGAAATTCACGGTAAGTTATTTAATTTTTAAGATTTATTTTTAGAACTAAGATAAATCATACAATATACATGAAACAAGAAATTTCACTTTTATTCAACATTTAAAACTGTGTAACTTAACGTGTAAAAAAAAGTAACTAATTTTTGAAACAACGTATAATGCATTGTTATAATAAGAATACTTATAGTACAATACTTCTCGTTTTTTTTATAGGTACCAATTTGGTTTGAAGTCGTCCGCAACGCGATCAATTACAATTTATTAAAATAAATTATTCGTATTTTACTCGGTTTATCCGATCCTTAATTTTATCGTTAAATACGCAAAAAGAAAAAAAAAAAATCACAAACCTATGTTAACATATTCCGACCAAATTTGCCAACCCTACTGATTTTAAAAGAAAATGATTAAATTATGAACAAAGAAGACGGCGATGTTTCGTGTGAGCTTGAAACCGAATCAAAAACGGGAGACATTAAATAATTTCGAAGACAATATAATAAATATTATATACACAAGTAGTGTATTATTAATTATTCGATGTACTTTATGTAACAACATATTTATAATAAATTCAATCTTATCGGGAATTTAAACGCGAATGTTTGTTTGGATGGATAGACCGAAACACATGAAAATTTACGAAACTTATTATTTTCAAATCGTGAATATTATTGTCTTTCAAAACATGTGTAACCGAACTCCGCTCAGAATCGCTTTTCGTTAGCAACGATTAATCGTTTCGTACGGATACACATTAAATTTATCTTCTACCTTCCCAACTTATCACCTACAACAGTGGCCCACACATTGTGCGAAGTATGTCCGTTTCTTTATTGTTTTATTTATTCTAACCAATATGTTAACCTATAACCCATAAATCAATAAAAATAATCGTGAGATTTTCTTAAAAAATAACAGTCTTCCACAATATTTATTAAATAAATAATGTGTACTTGGTACTTACTTAATGGAGACTTTATATGGGGTGAGAATAGATGAACG